ATGTCAAGATAGGGAGGATAAACATCTGATTACTACCGGTCTGCTGTGCATGACGTTAACGCCCATTTTAATAGCACTCAGCACTCTCGAATAAACTAAAGGTCGTTGGTTCAAAACTAAAAAGTTTTAGTTCATAAACCGCACATTTCCATATTCTAGTGATCTAGTCACTTTGAACATTTGAGTAGTCATACGATTCATTCAGCATTTTTTCTTCAGTCATATTCGCCCGGGTAAAAATTCATCTAATCATAAAGTTAACCTAATCAAAGTATAGAGATTGGACGACAATTCCGCACGATGGAGTTGCTGAGAAAAAGGATTTGTATTACTTTTTGTCTGTTTTTGTTGGTTTGCCAAAACCAGTTGGCTTGGTTTAACAACAGTTGCAAAACAAATTAATAATTAGTTGGATGACATCATTTACGATTCGCAATTCTAAATAGCCGTCGTTCCAGAGTTGTATGTGTTTTTTGTATTTTCTTTTCATCAGACCATTGTATGAGTGTGTTTAAAAGATCAATCCAGTACAATTAACTCAATTATTGTTAACTGTAATTTTCGTTGAAAACGAAGAAGAATGTATGAAAACATAAATTACAATAATGTCTATTCAGGTTTAGAGCAAGTACGGTATTTATGCCTTTGGCATTAGTCTCATTTTGAAATTAAGACAAAGCAAGGAACGTTTGGTAATGGTTTAACAAAATTATGCGAACCTAAGTGGAAAATCAGATAAAAGCCAATTGTACGGGTCAAGTTGAATTGTTTAGCTTTGGTTGTTTTGTGGAGCCGATTACTTTAATGTCGTCTATAAATTCAAAGCCAATTTAAAGGTCAATCCATTTAGTCACGAATTTTCAAACAAACGTTTTTGTTTGTTTCAAATAATTGTCTGCCATCAAGTAAAAATACGAATTGTTGGCGTTTATGTTTAGATTTATTTCACAATCACGTTGTTCAATTTGCCTGGTAGGCATAACCTTGGTGTTATTAGGGAAACGCACTTACAATATGTATCAACAATCACACACAAGTTTTCGAGCTAAACTATGAATTTAATACGACTTGCAAAACGAAATGACATTCATTGATCACCAGGTTATTTTAAACACATGACTCTCCCATATAGGCATACGTCTCCATAAATAATAAACATGAAACATGTAAAACAACACTGATTAAACCTTTAGTTTATTTTATTTATTTATTCTACACATAAAGCATTCTATGGCACGTCGTTAGGCAAGTATTTGAAGTACTAACTTCTCTGACTATCAATTCAACCCTAAATAATCTAATTAAAGTTGTTTCCATCAGAAATATATACCACGTTCATGTTTGTGCTTTCCAATATTAATTTGGTATTCAAGGTCCCACAGTATTGTTCTTAGCTCGCGGCAATTCCATTATTAAATTAAAAATTGAGCAGCCAATTAACTAAAGAACGATGTTTATATAAACGGCGAAAATGTATACAATGAGACTGCATATTTACCAAAACAACAATTTTCAGTAAAATTTCAATTAAGAAAGCTAATTAAAATCAAGTACATATATTGCATTTTGTCAGAGTTTTGTAGCCTTTTTGTGAATATGATTTCGAATTTTTAATAAACATTAAGTTATATTTCAAATCAATTGCACAAAGCTCAGAAAGGTTCCGATACATAAATGTATGACTTACAACAAAATCAAATAATATCAAACTATTTCAACAAAGTTACTAAAAAGTTAAATCAATAAATATGGATTGATGTGTGTAGAACACATTCTTCATTAGTCATTTACTGGCCAAATTATGATGTTGAAGCAATGATGCTACAAATCATAGTTTTTACTGTACTTAATTAAAGCTGATTTTTTCCAAGAGATTTTCCGTAAAGATAATATGAATCATGGAGAAAACTGCTGCGGAAAAACTCAAAATACGAGGCAGAGTAATGAAAAGACAAATCCGGTGAACGTGATACAATATCGCAGGGTTCTGTGTCGAGGGAGTTGATGGAACGGTTCAGTTCTGTAACTAGTTTGGTCTTTGATAAGGCTTTAATAACTAAGCAGAACCTATCCTCAGTTGAATCGTTGAATCTAGTGTATACAGTACTACAAACGTCCCGTAACACTGCATACAGAACTGGGTAGTATCGCAGAATAATCATGTTTAGTTTTCAAGTCCCTAGATAAGCTACTAAAAAAAAACTGCGACACTGATAAAATTCAAGGTCGCAAGTTAATTTTTGCGAACAACAAACTGTAAGTGAACTGAGTGAACTAACTGCTAGGTGCAATTAATTATGAAGTTATTGTTTTCAAAACAGTAAAATGTGTTTTTTTTATTATTCAAATACCTTTGTTGCAATTGTATTAGTTGAGTTTGTATTTTTTTCAAATATTGCTGATCTAGTGTATCAGTAATTGTGGGTATTATAAAAAAACGAACGAACATTTATGGTTCGTTTAAAGTAAAGTGTCCACAAAGTTACGTCCTTTAAATGTGATTTACGCTTTACTATGTCAGTTTATTACGACAAATGAAAACCTCGATTATTTTTTTAGCTAAAATCCACACGCATATTTATATTCTTAAGTACAATATTACAAACACGTCATTTGAATAGATACATTTTGTACACAATTGATTTTAAAATTATTTCGTAGTTTTAGTAGTAATGGAGCGAACAAACTCGACGACCAAAGTTATCAAATAACTGATAATTAGCACAATATATTTAAACTGCTCAGCAAGTGCTTGTAAAGCCACAGCGAGTAGCTAATTTATTTTTGATACAAACAGATCTCTTATAGCTTTTAACGATAGAGAAGTGGAACACTCGATCAATAGACCAGGGTTCGGTCAAGTTCGGCAGTCATCGGACAACTTCGGCTCTTTATCACTACTATCGCATTCTCGCCGCCAACACGTAAAAATAAGTACAGTAAAACATAGTGTATATTTATCCTATGTTCTAAAAAATGTTTATTAAAAAAAATAACAAAACAAAAATATATAAAGTAATCCTCTCCAGAACATTGTAGTTGCATGTCGCAAACTTAAATGATTGTAAACCTAAAAAAAAATCTGACGTGTTTTTGATAGTAATCTCTATTGTTAGTAACCGTCAAACTAATCTATGTGTAATGTTCACGTTTTACCATCGAAGGGAATAAGCTATTACGGTAGGTCTGAAGTCTGAGGAAGACCCGGGCCCGATTTTATCTTTTTACACCATCACAAAGACAGGGTGAGGGTATTTCCACTGACAGGTGAAAATAACAAATAAAGTAGCCACATCACTAACCATCACTTTGAATATTGAAATATTCAAACATGTAATTAGATGCCTACGGACTATAACTGGAACAATTAATTTGAGACACTTAAGTGAGACTAACATCCAATAGAAAAACTTGTCATTATCAAAGACATTGCTTCAACATTGTGTTAAAATGTACAAAGTGAAGACGGTTTTTGTTTACCAGAGGTTAGCAAACTATGACTTCTACAACAACTCTGAAGTTCGACAATGAAGGTCAATAACTTTTTGCTTGCTTTTAATTAATAACTAATAAGTCCTGGCACAATAACCACACCGGTCTTACTCAGTAACAAATCTATCAAATAATTCCTTCAATACGCGTCTTCGCCTTGAAATAGACGTATAATGCCATCTAATCACATTAAGTTAACGAGTTTACACAAGTTTAAAGAAAAAAGTGTTAAGGAAACACAAAATACATATAGAGGAATTAATGGCGATTTTAAAAGCTGTTTCGTATATTAATTAATGCATACCATAAACCATGAACGGATAGAACAGAAACAGTATGGACCATAAACATAAAAAAACAACGTTACTGGCCCGAATATTATACTTATAATGCAATGCTTACTTTCGGGGCAGTGAAATGATTTGTTTCATGATTCATACCATGTCTGTTATAATTTTCGTTGTACGCAACGTAACCACAGATCAAAGAGGGTTTTAACGAAACCAGTCACAAATTTACTAATTGTCACACTTGAACATTAGTTTTTATATAATGCGTGACGCGGTATACCACGGTCACAGAGGCACGTGATAGAGACAGACGTAGCTTGGCTGCTTCATCTCGAGGTCGCATTTACATCACAAAACAACAACTCGACCCACGACCCACCTGGTCTATGGCAGCCCAGGATGTGAATCGTGTTTTTATTGTTTACTCTTGCAAAGTATCACTTTATTGAATTATTTTTCTAAGTAGTTTGTTTAAAAATCTAAACGGATGTTCTCGTGTTTTCTCTGGAATTGCCACTTCTAAACTGCTCTCGACTTTCCATCGTTTTAACTCTCCACCGCGCAGTTGTTCAACGTTGTAATTCGACGCTTTCTATTTCAACTTTTAAATGCACGGATACTTGAACAGAACCGGTATAGATCATAAACATAAACAAAATATGACGGCTGTGTATTATTGAATTTTGTCACGGACACAGTTTATTTTCCTAAGACGCTAAGTTTTACTTGTCTGTACGGCTAATGCCGTGGAGATAATAATTATATCAAACAAATTAATTGAATTATATATAACCCTAAAATTGAACTCATACCGTATCTCAATCGTTGGTTATCGTGATTTAAATCGCTCGGCTCGATGGCTTAGTTCAATGGTTCAATCCAAGTAAATGTAGATCGCATGGGACGTCAATTTTGTTTATCGGTTTACTTTGGGTTATTAATTTTATGATTTGTTCTGTGATTATTGGTAAGGAATTCAACCGCAACCTAGACACTTGCTTCGCTGCAAATTCTGGGTAAAAATGAAAAATAGTTCATCTCATGCTTCCGGTAGCAGGTAGCAAATTACGACAAACGATTTATTACTCCATCCCTCCCTCCAAAACTTGAATAAACAGCTGTGTCCGTGACCTCGGCAAAACCGTCTCCCGCCGCGCCAGCGCCAACTACAGTGAAAGAGTGAAGAAGCAGAACGGTTATCGCCGCCATTATTATTATTACACGCCAGTCCAGTCCTCCAGTCCAGCTGTGCTTGGCGTTCCGTGTAGTCGACAGTCGAGTCGGTTTCTTTTGTTCGTGATCAAAATCGTCATCTGGAATCTGAGTGAATTTGTCGTTCGCGTTTTGTCAAATTTAACTCCAGTGAATAAGTGATCAATAAATAGTGTGCTAAATTAGTGTTGTGAGAGGTGCTTAATTTAGAACCAAGAATCAAACAACAATCACAAAAACGGTACCATTCAATTACCTACTAGTCTCAATAAAGCAAAATAAAACCCCTCCTAATTATTATCTCTATCCTTAACTGCTATCCTTCTTGAAGCATTCGACGTTCTGTCACTTCTATGGAGCATCTCCTAGGCCTACGTAAAATCACACTTTGGTTATGTTCTCGGAAGTATAGGACTGGTCTGATTTAAACCATGCTGGTTTCGTCCATGATGACAGAAATAAGTTCATACGAGTCCATGAGTATTTGGCATACAAAATTTCCTTTTGGAAGGTAAGATTTCATAGGAATCTATTACTTTCTTAAAACATAAACTAGGGTAACATAGGTAAGGGTCATCACAACGCAGTCAAGGCTAATCCCAGTAAAAGACCAAATGGGCTTGGCCATTATCAAACGTAGGCCTACTATAAGAACCTTAAGCTTACTTTTATTGTAAGGTTAACACTTGGTGAGGGGTTTTTTATAGACCTAAGTTATTGCGTTGTTTGTTGAGGTTACAATGCAGTAACTTAACCTAAGTTTATGCAATTGCAAATCATAGTCTCAGGCTGCGTCTACTGTAATGACCCTTGCGATAAACAGACCCATTTTTTTGCGAGAAAGGACGGCTTGATAAATAAAAGTGAAATAAGTTAAAGAAAGGGCAGGGTTTCCTCACTGCACTAAAACTTTAAAAAAACTATGTCCTCTTCATTAAACATCACGAAGAATTCTAAAAGACCTACCCTAAGTTAATGATAGGCCTAATCATAATTTCAACCCTATGTAAGTTTCACAAAGTCAGCCTAACTTGATGCAAAACGTTGAAAATATCACATTCTTTGATTGTTGAAACTTATTTTAATATAAAACCTTAGAATTTAAAAATGACTCAATCCATATCCAAATAAACGTAAGCAATAGGCCTAAATGAGTTATCCCACCCTCAAATGCATTTGCCGTTAGGCTATTATTTTAAATACAAAACACCACTGGGGTGGTTACAAAAGAAGTTCAATAGTTTTTTGTTAGGTAGGCCTAGCCCTGCCATTCGGCATTTTTCAATAAAATTGCCGTTGTTTTACAGTGGAATCTAGAGTTAAGTAGGCCCTAATAACCTTTTTTTTCCTCTCTGGATCATAGCCTTCTGGAATATCTTTCAACTAAACCAATAGGTAGAGTTAGCCATCAAGACATTCCAGGGCGCTGACATTTAGAATACCTACATAAGGTAACTTAACCCTCCGAGTGTCATGCGTCGCTGCAGCGACTCACGAACACTGTTTACGGCGAAGGCTCTATGACTGACAAAATCGGATTGAACTGGATCGAGTTAGGTATCGTTCTTTTCGTTAGATTCTAAGCTTTCTCCAGAGGTCTGTCTCTAAGCGCTTTATGTTCTCCGAGCCGATCGTAATTGTAGCAGACAGCTGACGTGCGTATTTGTAAACAGGTTAGTTAACCTCGGACCGATGACTGATGTGTTTTATTATGTTTATCATTGTTTTAGTGTTAAAAATCAAAAGTAGTGATATACGTGGTGCATTATAAGAAGATTTAAGTGATTTTGAAGGGCTGGTTGATGATCCTGAAGAAGTAGGTACTTAGTGATATTGATGTAAATTATCAGGCAGATTCCTAGCTATGGTTAGGCTATGCATTCTTAGCTAAACGCTATGTACTGAAATCTGTTTTTTGCCCATAACTTATTTATTTGCAAATCTACTTCCTTATATTATTATATATTTGTAATCCTCATAAAATTTAGAACAAAGTGGCTATTTTCAAATATTTATAGGCCTATAATTAATACAATTTCATTGAGCGCAAACTTATTTTTTTTTCAATTTTTCCAAAATAGTTTTTATTTTTAGGCTACCTAAAAAAATTTTTTTGAAACAAATATTCCTTAGGTTTTATGTATGATATTGAAGCCCATGATTTTCCAAACAAAATGGTATATAGAACAGTAGAATTAACATTGTTTTAAGCTTTTCAGATCCGTTTTAATAAAACCTTGCAAATGTGCCAAAAATAGGCGGACATTAAGGCCTAAACTATGGACACTCGGAGGGTTAATCTTCCTTTTACAAATCATGTAAAAAATTATAAGTTTTCCTGTAAACAGAGGAGTAGTGGGGCGGGAACGCAATATTTTAAGGGTTATTGTACCGGTACTTAATAAGCTAGGGTTTAGTTATTTTATGATCGGAGAAAACATTATCTGTAAACCTACTGATAATATCTTAGTCCTACAATTCGGTCAGGTGATTTATTCTTTATATATGCTATCCTGACACTAAGCCTACTTTTAAGACACATTTCAAGCTAACAAAACTCTCAAGATAGTTTAAATAAGTGTAACTTTAATACCCTGTTATTGTTAAAAAGCATCTATTGATAAAAATTACATGTTTTTAAACATCACAAAACATTTTTTTTTTACATTCGTGATGGAAAATGTCCGCAATAAACCTTTGAACAACATTAACTCACCATCACCAACAATGAACTTCAAACAAAGAATCACAAAACACTTTAAAACCCCCAACAAGCAAGAGTATAATCAAGTAGGTAACAGTACCGGTACACATATTTTTCAGAATTACATTGTCTCTTTGACCAGAAATGTTCTCCATTTTACTGCAACATGTTTTTAATATATGCCAAATCATTAATTCAACCCATTTTAAGATGTACCAGCATTAATAAACAAATTACTAAACCCATTAAAACTGTGTCCATTTAGAATTGCAATGCTGGTGGAGCTGCCTACGAATTGACACTCAAAGCTCTCTCCGATTACTTAAACACTGTTTAACACACGGTTAGCATTCTGGGTAATAGTAGTATGTTTTCTGTGCCCTCAAGCATAAGCTAGCCTACTGTATACTATCTGAACTTTTAAAGTGTACTCTTACAGGAACAGATTTTGATTAGGCCTAGGTTACTTCAGTTGTCTGTTTTGCTTTGCAGTGTAATGTTCTCTCTTAAGATTAAAATGGTTAATGAGTCGTACAGCAGTTAGGATAAATTATAGGCAGCTACAGAGCCTATGCAGTTAAAATGCAAAAATTTCAAATTACAAGGAATAAATTCAATATGGTATCTAACAAGCATATTAATTTTGTATTAGGATCAGTTTCAAAAGTTAACCATTCAATATGTGTCGTACTATATTGCTTGGAAAGGTTAGTGCATATACAAAATTTTAACACCAGGCTTACAATTAAATTATTTTTGTACAATATTGATTTGTTCAAACAAGCTATAATATTTGGTGTAGGGCCTATAGAATCTAGGCCTAATTTGTGATTCGATGGTTTGTTTATTTGTCTAAATGTAGCAATCACAATACTAATGTGCTAATGATGCTTTCAGGTGATGTTTAAGTGAAAACACACAATGCAGGTAGCAGAGACTGTTCCGCTGCTGCTGTTGAGTGCGTTTGTGTGTTTGTGTGCGAGTGCGGTGGAGCATCATACTCGACATTCTGTTCCTAAATATCTAACTCCATGTCCTCATTCTTGTCAATGTATTATAATAGACCATTACACAGAGACTGTTGACATAGTATGCAAGAACCGGCCCAGCAACGGAATAAAACTACCTCCATCTGTTACAAGTCTTGTCTTCGAAAATGTCTCAACTCTGTTTCTTCAGTCATCTAACTTAGTTCCTACATCGTCCAGCGGGTCTGAGATGATCAAAGTAGTTTATACACAAAGTGAAATCAAGGGAATTAGTCAGCATACATTTTCAAAACTTCCTTATTTAGAGCATTTAGATTTGAGTAGGAATTTCATATCAGAGATACCCTTATTAGCTTTTTCCCCCTTATCTCGTTTAAGAGTTCTCGATTTATCTAACAATTATCTATCGACACTCCCAAATGACATGCTCGAAAATCAATTGTCTCTACGTGAACTTTACATATCAAAGAACCAGTTAGAGGCCATGCTTACGGAAACCTATGCAAACTGCAGTGAACTTCAAGTGCTTGATTTTTCGCACAACAGAATCTTAGATATTTCCGAAGACGTCAAACTTAGTTCCAGTTTGATCACCCTCCTTCTCAATAACAATAAACTGAAATCAGTTCCGATTCAAATGTTCACAAATCTGGAGAATTTAGAAATACTAGACTTGGCAAACAATGAAATACAATTTATATCAGATCAATTATTTCATAAACTGAAATCCTTAGAAAAATTGGACCTTCAAGGAAATCGAATAGCAGAAATACCGACTGATAGCTTTAAAGAACTGATTCACTTGCAAGTATTAAACATAAGTAAAAATCCGATTGAAAATTTGGATGATAAAATGTTGCAATCTAATTTAGAACTTAACACACTAAGTTTCAGTGAAACTCTTATAAATAAAATTAATGCCCGTCTTTTAGCGAAACTTAAAAGACTGAGAGTCCTAGATGCTAGTCATAATTATCATCTAGAGACGATAGAAGACTTCAAAATTAGCTCTAGTAATCATTTGCAGTTCATCGATCTCAGAAATGGAAACTTAACAAGTTTGCCAATATTCATTTCTCATTTGCAAGTGGTAGAACAATTGAGGATTGAAGGCAATCCTTGGAAATGTGACTGTAGATCTGGATGGTTTATAGAATGGCTTCAAAATCATGAGCATTCCGTGAACACAACTCTCACATGTGACGGTTCAGAGAATCTTCTAGACAAATTGATATCCCTCAACTGTGAACCACCACAAGCGATCAACGACACAACAACAGAGGTGTTAGAGTTCAGGTCATCTGCAATGCTCACGTGTCTGTTTAATGGTGAACCAATTCCATCCATTACTTGGGTGACACCGTCCGGGTATATCTTTCACTACTATCCCAAAAATGCCACAGACATTTTCTCTAGTCATCCTCGAATCCATCTTTATGATCTTGAACCCATCGTTGAAAGTAGAATACAAGTCATGAGCAATGGATCTTTGCACATCCAAGAAATCCACCGCCAGGATGCGGGAATATACACTTGCATTGCCATCAACCCTGTGGGAAATTCAACATCGCACATCGTGGTGACTCTCGACAGAGAAACATTTTTCCACATAAAACTAATGTGCATCATTGTAGGCGCCTCATGTGTTATTGCAGTTCTCTTGTGCACAGCCATTGGTCAGATTATCTACTGGATATGTAAAAAGTAAGCACCCTGAGTTACCGTACTTAGTATAAAAATATAGCAGTATAGTTTCTACATACCAATTTGATAATTTTCAGGCAACAAGTTACCCAGCCGCCGTTGACATAAGGTGTTAAAAAAACATAATTAAAAAAATGTAGGTTGACCTGAAGTACTAAAAGCATGTTCAATGGGTAATACATTTTTTTTACCCACACACGTGGAATTAGATCATTTTGAACAAGTTTCACTTTTCTCGTTAAACTACATTTAATGAAAAAAATGTAAAGCTATTAATTTATGGCATAGAACGTTTTAGTCAAGATAACATTTTTTCTCAGTATTTAAAATATGTATAGATGTTATCAAAATAACAATAAATTTATTCACTAAATATTCACAAGCACAGCTACTTACACAATTTAATTGTGTTTAAAAGAAATATTTAGGGAAAAAATGATTTTACGGTTTTAACATAACAATTATTTACATATTACACACAAGAAGACTAAAAAAATAAAAATAAATGCCCTTTTGGAAACACAATTAAGTTAAAATAGTTATGCTAACACTAACATTATGTATAATATAAAGATAGAATTACTAGTTACGTAAAATTCAACATAAAATAACACAATTTTATGCTGCCTACTTTAATTATAACAAACTGTTTGAGACTCAGCTTTAATCCTGATTCTCAGCTAAAAACTTTGTTTCACTTAATAATGTAATATAATGTTCTCCGCTGTTTATGTACTCTGGTGTCAACTATATGAAAATTGGCTGAATTTTTGAAGATCCAAGTGTATGAGGTATTCATTAGAAACACCACCCACAATCATTCAAATCTGACTTACTTCATCAGGCGTTATTAAGTAAGTAATCATTCAGTATCGCTTATCATATACCACGCCTGAATCATCATCATCCAGTGGATTTGAGCTTCCCCTTCGACAAATTTTGAAACTAATCAAACTCGTTGGCGGTTAAGACTCCGCTAAATCGTTGGACTGTCAAAGTCCACGAGACTGCTGCTTCAATATTGTGTCTGGATTCTTTCAGACATTCAAAACTCCATCATATGTTTTTTACAAAAACGTAAGGACATGATTGATTTTTCCACTATATTATGAAAGAAAAGTAATTTTTAAACATTATGCATTGTCGAATTGGGGTAAAAAGATCTTGTAAAGAGCTTTTAAAATTAACAATGAAAACCCCGTGTTGTACTAATTATCATGTAATGTATAATGTGAAAATGTTAAGGTGCGGACTTGTAGAAGAGAGAGGAAAACAACTGATACAACTACGAGAGAATATCGAAACCTACAAATCACAGCAACTTGAAAGCCTCAGACAAAACTACACTCAACAGGTAATGATGAAAGACCCCATGGTCATTTAGAAGGAGTATTTGTCACGTTTTAATATCATCAGATCAGCAATTTTTCACAATTATTGACTTGATGACGTTACCCAGTCTTTTTAACTCTGTTATTCTTTTAGGCTTAAAGAAACAACAGTGAAAGGACGGGGAAGGCTACAACTTTACTCTTCACATTTACGTTCTATTTAACGTGATGATTTTATGTGGAAGTTGTTTACATTTTTCAGAAACAAAAGCAACAACATTGATAATGGCCAACAGTTGAAGTTTGTAGTACTGAGTCAGAACTGCCTTGAATGCTGGATGTTTGCATTTCAAATGCATTTTCATTTACATGATTCCTAGGTATTAAGTTTCAAGTGAGATTAGGGGCTTTGGGGACTTGTTTAATTTCATCAGTTAATTTTCTAGGATAGTTAAAAGGTACATTTTGATTGGCTGTATTCAATTAATAATTTATTATTTTATTAATCTGTTGTACTGTTTCAAGTTTTAACAGCTCTTCTGCTTAAAATCAGGTCAGTTTTTAAATATTGTATTTGATTTTGTAAATTAAAATTTTAAATGTATTGGAAAGCTATTTATGATAAAGGCTTGTAATTTCTAAGACAACAATTTTGTACAAATTAGCCTACATTGTTATGATAAAATTTCTTCCTTTCACTGCTTCACTTTGGAATGCCCTTCTGTTTGATTTGGTATAGATTACATTTATTTTAAAATAAAAGACAGTTAAATATCTGAGACAGTCCTGTAAGTGTATAAATCATTGCAACTTTCACAAAACGTGGGAATATGAGATAAAGCTTTTTACAATTAAAACTTAAATGTTTTAGGTACATCGGATTAAAGAGAACTGCACGCAACAAGTGGAATGGATCCGAGACAGCTACCAGTCACAGGTGAAGCATCTCAAAGACTTTAAGCACTACGGCTCACACCAGTTTTCAAGTATGAGGGATCAATATTATGACCAGGTAACTATTTCAGACTAAACATACTATCAGTAATGGATATGAGTGACATTGATGATCCCAACAATGTGGTGTCATTGTTATAGCTATAAAATTGAAGATGCATAGTGATTTTGCTATCCAACCAAAGCTTAAGCCGCCAACTGTTTTTACAGCTTATTTTCATGTTATAACTATAAAATGATTTACGGTATGTTGTATGACTGATGTTTTTCTCAGATGAAGAAAGTCAGGGACTACTCGACGTCACAGCTGGGCTGGGTCCGAGAGAACTACGTGTTCCAGAGGAACCGAGTCCAGAAGTTCAGTTCGCACCAGGTGCTGCGGTTCCGAGAATCATACAAGTACCAGCAGCAAACGCTCAACAAGATCCTAGAAAATCTTCCCAATCTGCATCTGGACAACTGTAGAGGCAGCTCATGCGGAAGATCAGAAACATCCATGTTCACAGACCCGAAAGAAGATTTTCATGAAGAACTGGTGGATATTCAAGATATCAGTGAGTACGTTAAGACTGAACTGGAACAACTGACTGATCCTGCAGTGCTAGACGAAGGTATAGATGCACAATCCGTGTACTACACTCCGTCCGAACTGTCTGATGGTCCTCAGTCTCCTGTGAAGGAGATGCTACTCCGAAGACAACTACAGTACTCCATAACACCTGAGGCCTACAGTCCAGATAACCCTCTAGATAGGCCCAGTACCTCCTACTCCACGGTCCCCTGGCTGCCAGACAGTCCCTGCCATGTGTTCCACAGTTCCCAGTCCGGGATACAAGTTCCCCAGGGGGACGAGGAGTTCCAGGTGCCTCGCACGCTTCAGTCCTCCACTAGTCTCCCCGAGATGCCGCAGCTGTGTGACGATGACAAGATGTTTCCGTCGGTGCCCGCGACCTCGCACGAGACAGCTCTCTAGTGCCAAAGTGTAAACTGTTGAGTGCCCTGTAATATTTTTTATGGCTGTGATAGCTTTGTTCCAAAAGGTGACCTGTGTCTTCAAAGTTTCTTGTGTATGGGTTAGGAAGATTGCTCAAACATTGGACTCGTAGTTGTATCATTTCTTTCTCTCTCTTATCTGCTCTCCACTTACCACCTCTCATTTGTCAGAAAAGTATGAAATTTTTAAATTAAAGTTAAAATTTTAAAATTATTTTACAAATATATGTATGAATAAAAAGTTTTGCCATTGTGTTAGTTATTAGGAAATATATACAGCTAAACAAAGTGGTGTTTTTTTAAGTCTTACGAAAAAAATTAAACATACAAAAAACGGCTGAAATTAAGTTTATTATTGCCATTAAGGTAGATATGACATTATTTAATTCATGTATAACATTTTGATTTACATATACCGCTTAGATTTGTATACATAATTTGTTAATGGTTATTGTTAATTACTTCACATATCTTTGTTATATAGTGATGTACATATTTGTTTACGAATAACCATGAATGTGTAATAAATGCTGTATTATAATAACTCTTTTTTTCTATAGGCCCTAATTTACGTGCCTTTTTTTGTCTTTTTAAAATACAAAATTATTATACAACATTATTCCTATTTTAAAATTAATTTAACGTTATTTGGTTTAGTTATGAATTTTGTATATCCATTAATGTCATTATTTTACATGCTGTACCAACAGGAAATTATTTGTATATATTGATATTTTTTTAAAACAATATTACTACCTGGCTTGATGAGATTTAGCCATTCAGGTAGTACTTGTGATCAACAATTCACCATGTACTTAAAACTGAGTTTAATTAATTAAAAAGTCTATCCCTTGAAGAAATAAAATTATTATTTTTTATTGCCATATTTTCTTGGCACTTTTTGAATGAAAAAAACATTTTAACAATAGAGATTTTGAGCAATGTTCAAATATTTATGATCGATTAAACCTAATGTTTATTTGCTGTTTCCAGTGTTTCCTTTATTTGTTATTTGCAGTTGTCAAAAGAGAGATTTTTATGTATCAGTGAATTAATATCATTTAAAAACTAATAGCAACATATTTAAAACATTCACTATATTTAGTATTATTGATTCTAAATTTTCTCTGATTACAAAAATGTCTTTAGTAGTTTATTGAAGTATTGTACTGCAACAAAAAAAATCAGCAATGGTTAATTTTAAACCTTGAATGCATTTTATACAACTGAAATAGCCAATGATCACTTATAATTTAGAAATAGGCTTAGGTAAAGAAAATAACAACACAAGTTAATTGCAACTGTATTGCACTATAATTTGGAGTAAATCTATACAAAATAATGCCATACAAATTTAATAATTAAACTATGAGCTATGGATAATACTATGAAACTCATAATATGTAGTGTTTTAAAGGAAAAAATTACAATAATGTTTAAGTCCAAATAATGTAATGTCATCTCTTATATATTTCAATAAAGAAATAATTCATTGAAGCACTAGTAGTAAAAGTATCACATTTTCTAGCAAACTTAAACCTACATTAGAATTAGAAAAACTGTATACATTAATAGGGATTGTTTTGTTTTGAAATCTTTACTCACTGAAATTATTTCTGTGAGCTAAACTTTAGGAGTGTAATGAATACTTCTATAGGATATTTACAGGAAATGACGATTCAGTGTATGAAATTGGTAATTGATAATATGGGCTGATTATTAATTTATAATTGTTTTGATTTCCATAATATGATAAAGGCCTAAAACAATTTATAGGCCTATTGATAACAATTTATCGTCAAAATTGGTCTCAATTAATAATTAACAAAATATTTTATAAATTTAAGAATTCAAATTTTCACCTGCTAGCCTAGCTAAATGATTTTTAAAATTGTCATTTTAATTTAATCGGAAACATGTTTTTTTTAGTAAATATATAGTCTCTGCTTCTTTACATGGCCAGAATCTAAATTTAGATAAGTGGTAAAGTATTTTAGTTTTCTTTTTATAATAATCAGAACTTTCACATTTTAATGAAACTAACACAGAGTATGAAACTTTAAGTAGCCTATCATTTATATTTTTCAATCTCTGAAATAGATATACCTATATGAATATAAGGTTGTATTTTAATAAATAAATGCAATAGTTCATTGCACTTATCAAACTGCTTATGTAAAAACCTAGCAATTCATCTGTATTTTATTGCTTCTGGTATTAGGGTAGATGCCATGTTGGCAAATCCAACAAAAGTTATGACTGTTTTACTTTTGATTTATATAACTAAATCGCTGGGTTAAGGTAGAAAAAACTGTCAGGGCAACGTCTTGAAACATCGGCGTCCCTGATAACTGGCCACCATGAAAAATAGTCCTCTCCGGCATACAAAAGTGTCAATCAGCAAGTTTGACTTTTAATATACATTTTCTAAACAACAATGTGATTTTGCTGCAAAAGTTTAGCATAAGAAAAGTATCAAATATTTTAGGTTAAGATTACATAGGAGTTAGTATTTCAAATGCTCTTCTATTTTCTAACTATGGAAAGAAAACCACACAGAGATGTGATTAATTGGTGGCCATTTAGAAGGAAGGCTAGTGTTTATTCATTATAAAACTGAGTTAATTCATAACAACTGTTTGTAGATAGATTGGTGGTAACTTTAATGTGACTTATTTATTTATATTATTTTGTGTCCTTTTGTTCTGTGAATGATTATTTGTACAAATGCGTAATAAATCTTTGTTGCTCTAAAATGTGTGTATTTTGAACTCCACAATTCTATTAATTTAATGTTAGTTTTCTGATGTTAAGCAGAAATGAATTTATTTTGTATACTTTCAACTTATTATTATTAGTGGTCACATACAAGTAAAATATACTAAGATATGTGAAATAGATAAGTTTAAGTAGCACGCTTATGAAATCATCAAACGAAATTTTGCTAACTGTACGTTATTTTTTATGGGAAAGGATGAGGGTTGTCTGTTAACTAATATAACCATCGAGTAGTAGACTTGACCGAGCAAGCTAGCTCGAATTTGACACCAGCCCCTAGTTCTTTACATAATTTACTAATATTCAAGCCGATTTCCACGGCATATGTGCAATGAGTCTCGTCAAAAACCAAAGCCTATGTGAAGGAAAATCAATAGGTCTGCCTAACATGACTAGCATACTGTTATTGGTTTTCTGAGGTTTTTTTAGGCATAAACCCCTGTTGAAGTTCAATTCAAGGGGTGGATAGTGTTTGGAGGTCGTACAAATTTTCAAAATATTGATGATGATTTGTATAGTGTAGGTCGGCTGTGGTTGTTTGAGGTCGATGATTAACACGTTCGATTCCGCAATAGTACTAAATTTTTCATTCATATGGACCAGCGAAGACGGCCAGTTTCCGCCAATAGACTGCCGTCGCATATTTGCGTCGGTGTCAAATGTTACTAAAAAGCTTATATCTTTGTAACGGTCTATTTGAAGACCCTGAATTCTCTGCAGTGGTGCGTCACTTGGTTTTTTGATATGATGATTAGTGACGTCATATGATATTTGGCAAAACTGATTTTTACTTTGCTGCTTCACTGGCTTGGGGTCTGTGTGTACTGTTAACCAAGTGACACCCGATCTATGTGTAATATTAAAATTAATTTATACCTCGGGCCGTGGCAATTACCTCAGCGTCGCATATGTGTGGCGATTGGTAGCGAACGTGTTAAAGTTGAGGAGATGGTTTCTTTTAACCTTGCATTTGTACATTAACATAGGCCTCAGGCCTGTCCATGGAATGTGTCCAGCAAAGCAAGGGGTGAGCTGGTACAGAAAAAGGTTGAAGTGTACTGTTGATGAAATTTGGCAGGTACCAGGATCCGAACCCAAGACATTGCTCCCTTGGATACGAAGTCCGTCATGCTACTGACTGAGCCATCTACCCATCAACCATTATTAATAATTATTCTCAAAGATCAGGGTAGGACTGAATGAGGAATTACCAAAATCATAAAGGGCATCTCAAAGATTACCAAGGATAACAGGAAGCCCTGGTAGTCCTAAGTACGCCCTGACCTTGAATCACTGTGTCCATAGAAACTTATGTACATTCGCTAACAAATATTTTTGTAAACATGTACAGCCTTCTGCTAACTACTCTGCATGCACATTACACATCCTTAAATTTTTGTAACAGATTTTAATACAGGTTGCCTCCCTTCTCACAGAAACCTAAACATGGATGGCGATTCATACTTTCTTGGTAAGAGCATACATTTTACTTTTAACATAATTTTTGACTGCTGCAATGAAACTAATCGTCAAAAAGGGGCTTGAACTAGCTAGAATGTAGATGAACTAGAAAATTGACTTTAGACTAGTTTTTTTTTTACAAATAAAAAAAACCTAGAAATGGAATAAGTTCTACTGTTTAAAATAGCACCTTGACGTTTAGTTTGATCCATGGGTGGAAGAATCTTTGCAAATAGAAGCACCTCAAACTATCTCATTTTAATTACCTACATTTCAAAAGTAGATTGGTTCTATTATATAGCGAAGATATAATACATATTTTTAACCATCAATGATGGTTAATACAGAATTAGGTCTATGATTAGGTACTTAAGCTTAAAAAGATAAGTAGAGTAGAATTTGTATTACCACAATATTTAGCCTTAGCAAACATAAATAAAATCTTTGATGTTGCCTTTATTTTCGATAGAGTACTTTCTGACCAAAGAAAATTTATTGAAATACAATCATAGATTAGAACAGATTCTTCCCTAACATGGATAACATGGACTCCCTTGTCTCTTCTGAATATTAGTAGTTACAATTTGAATATCTATAATATCCTAAATCTACCACACACATTTAATTGGTAAAATAATCACAGTATTGAAATGGTACAGCAACTAAGGGTATTTAAAACCAAGAATCAATTAAATATAAGAGTGTGATGCCATTTTTACCAATACAGTAGCCGATTCTTTTACCAGGATCATATATTATTGAAAGGCCAGTTAATTAAACATCTTAGTTCGGTTCCAAATTATCAAAAAGTGAACAGATTGTAATTTTCTACATCTGATTGTGAATTGCAGACAGATTGTTGCAGTAAAACTTCCCCATTTCTTCATATTGTTAGCATAAGTGTATTTTCTTAAATGGTGAGAAGTTATAATCTATATAAAATAGTTTGCGGTAAGCATTTTACATTCCAAACCATTCATGGCACATTCTTTATTCTCAATTAGCTGTTACCCAAGGGCTTCACCCTGTTTGACTTCATAAGTATTAATAAAACTATTGATTCGTTAAGATAAGCTGAAATAAAAAAATCTGAATACATTAATACAAACAAATAATCACACCTGATTTTAGGTAATAAATTGAAAGAATAACAAACAAATAAGTACAGCTGAGGTATTTTTAACATTAGGTACATGGAAAGATCCCTTTAGAAAGGAATAACGACCTTAAAGGGCAATTTATGAAATAATGGAAAGTTTTGCGCAGGGTTGCTCGTCATGACAAACATTTTAAGTATATGGTTTACGGGGGTGTGACTTGTAGTTTTCTCAAAAGTTTATGGGTACTTTGGGATTTATATATGGATACCCGACGGTGATATCACAATGCTGAGTTTGGATTCTTTTTTGCAATATTATGTATATATATGTGTTACTAGACTTTCATAGGTAGGACGATGTACCAGCCCCACTGAGAAGCATGTAAATGAGTCATACCTAGAATATGTTAAGAGTTTTTGAGAATAGGCCATTTCTGCTCCAATTTCAAAATTCCAGCATTTGAATTAAAAAAGCAGAGGACAGGCCGATTTGGAACACACAGTTATTCAAAGTTTCATCGGAAAAACAATTTATAATTCAAAGGGAAGGTTTCCTTTACAGCCTGTTAGCACAATAGTTCATCTTACATCATATCATTGATGACATAAGAATCTATAGCAAAAACCAAACAAAAATAACAAATTTTTTTGTAAATCCATAAAAAACAAGATGTTGTTTGATGTAAAGTAACTAATACTAGAGGACCCATACTGCTCTACAGTGTTAAAATAAATATCATATCCGAGAAATAATCAAACTTATGATTTTTGATTGAGTAAGAGTATCTTTAACTTAACTGATTCAAACGATCAATAGCTTAAATTAAAGCATATAATTTACTGATTATTCTGAGTCCTAAACAAATAAAAAAACATAAACAATACTGGAACTATTGATTTTTAAGAACAACCTTATAACAAATATGTTTATGTTGGTTGTTCACCTTAAATTTTCTTGAAACTTGTCTGATTTGAATAACTAATAGCTTAAATGAAAGCTGGTATTTCTCTGAAGGTTTTTAGACCAAAATATATAGGATTATATAATTATAACTTGTGAAACACATCTTAATTTGAAGTAAGAATTCAAAAATAAAAATAAATATAATTTATGATTTTTGGTATAGTAATAGAGTAGATAAATGTATTCCGATGCTTGATGTGAAATCTGTGCGTGCATAACTTCAATTTGAGACCTCAATCATGAAAATCGGTCGGGTAGAAGAGCCAAACAAACTCGGAAAAGAAAAACAATTTTTTAAAAATATATAAGATGAGATGTTTAATTGTAATGATTAGTAGCTTACCTAACATAATACAGTATTTAAAAATGAACTCTTTGTAATACGAATGGTCTATTTTTTACCTATATATCAAACCCTAAACAGTTCAAATTTATTTGCTTGGCCCACTAATTTTTAAATATCAAAAGTCTATTATAATCAACACAATGTGATTAGATTGAATGGATAACACAAAAATTTAATTTGCGTAGAATCTTGGTTGTGAACGTCGACAAACACTTATGTTTGCAAGACGCTGCTTTATGATTATTTTGTTTAAAGTTTGAGCGTTTCTGATCAACACTTAAGAAGCCAAGCTTGGTAACAGCAGGTGATTTACATAACAAATTCTTTATTACACAGTAAATATCAAAATCTAAAATAGCATAATTTACAACCACAATTTTGAAATATTTTAATTTTGTCAATTCCACACCAGTTAGTTAGGTCTGGGATACGTTAGATTAATTATGTATTATTTTTGTTAAACTAATAGGAAAAAATAATTGCTGCAAAATTCTGTTAGGAATTCTAAAGGTAAAAGAATAGTATATTTCGTACCTAGGGCCGAAAATGAGGTTTTGCCGGCTCGAGATAGTATTTAAGTTCTCGACTTTGTCTCGAACTTCGAACTTCGAAGTTCGAGACGAAGTCTCGAACTTAAATCGATCGAGAGCTGCAAAACCATTTCGGTCCGTGGTACGAACGCTATTTTTCACCACACTATACCCTATTACCACTATTCACCACTATAATAATGCACACTGATCGTCAACACAACTACATCTTGAAGGTTATGTGAAGAATCATCATATTTGAGGAATCAGCAAAAATATAAATAAATATTTGCTAGGCAACAGTGACAATAACACAATTCTATATTGCAATGCTATGGATTTTGATTGTGTATTTAAAACGCATTCATGTTTTAATTAAGTAAGCGGACAGCTGATTTTGCGGCCCCGGCCTGTAAAAACCTGCTCGGTCCCCAAATTGGAGACAGCTGGCATGGCCAGCAAAACGTAACTTTCAGCCACCAATTAACGTATGTAATACAGCCAAAAACATCATGGTGTGGTGAAAACAATTTTTTAATGCAAAACATGCTCTTTTGCTAAGGCTGGCATTTGAAACGGCAAATGGAAGAAAAGCAAAAAGTGCTTGAGAACAAAAAATTATTTAAAAGTATATAACACTAAACTAAAACTTCAAACGTTAAATCCCAATAATTCTCTTCATTTCTAAAGTTAAAGATACATGTCACTCCTGCACCATTTAAAAATTTGCTTTAATAAGATTCTTGGAAGATTAGAGTTCATAAATTATGTAGGTACCTATAAGTGAAATGGTAGAAAAAGGTTAATCATAAAGGCAATAGCTCATTATAATTTCACCAAATAAAATGCACAATAATTCTCTTCATTTCTAGAGTTTAACATACACATCACTCCCGCACCATTAAAAAATTTGCTTGGATAAGATTCTTATTAGAGATCACAAATTACGTACCTATAAGTAAAATGGTAGAAAAAAGTTAATCATATTTGTAGCCAAGATCAATGATTCTTAACTATATAGTTAAGTTATACTGTACAGCTTACACACCACAACCACTGCAAAGCATCAGATCCAATTATACCAGTCAAAGACAGTAGGGTCTTACCTTGTCTGGCGTTCTGTTCCATACGATCACCGAGTGGCCGGAATTGAGAAGGTTCTTGACGATCCCGGAGCCCATGATGCCTAGCCCGAGGAAGCCAAATTTGAGGGTGGAAGGCAGAATGTTTTTCTCTTTTAATGTTTGTGACACACTCTCTAAATCTAGCGGCGGCGTTTCCTGAAACAAAATGAAAATTCAATAGTCAAAGATTTTTGGTACTGACACAATTGCGCATTAACATGTCAAAGTTTTATATTTAACCATCTTATCATGTTTGTTAGAATTAATTAATTAATTCATAGCCTAAAAATGCCTGTTTTTTCCTGTATTCTGGGGGTAAAGTATTTTTTAAGATCCTTTATCATGTATTTGGTAAATCAAACCAAATAACACATAATTTTTATGAAAATAGTTTAAGGTAGCCTATATAAATTTTGTAAATAATTAAAAAACAACCTTTTGAAAGAATTTTGAAATATTTAGAAATTGGGTAATATAGTCTTTTGCATATTTAAAAAATTGAAGAAAATGAAATGGTGCAAATTTGAGCTCTCTGGGTGGTTTAGCTTTTGAGTTACAGTATTTTTTTAAATTTGTCAAATCCTGCATTTTAAGGTTTTTTTTTAGATGCAAAATCCCAAGAGGTTTTTTGAACAACAACAGTGTAAAATTTGAAACTAAAACTCATGACGGTGAGTACAGTACTTAATGTTCAGCCAAATCTAAGATGTCAAAGGTACAATTCACTTAGTAGAATTGGTTGATTTGGCATGGAATGCCCCATTGAAAAAATATGAATATTCTAAGTTACTAAGATATATTAATAATAATAATCATTCTATAAGCAGCACTCATAGTAAGCCTGTATACTGCCTGTAATACTAATTCTGCAAGTTGTGTGAAATGGCTGTGGGTCCAGAAAATAGTATGAATGACATTTGTTAGAAATGTTGTTGGTCTATATAAAAATCACCATAGCTTATTCAAGTTGAGTAACCCAGTGCTGGCTCTCAAGACGTTCTCTAGAACGTCCAATCAAACAGTTCAAATCAAGAGGGAAAAAAATTATTACAAGAAGCAATAAACCGGAATATGATCGAGGATTTGGTCATTGTTATACAGTATAATAAATACGTATGGACAAAGATTTTAATTTTTAATAAACTCATTTGTGATGTTAGTACTTTTATACTGCACAAAAAGGTTCACTTTACACAACAGAAGACATATCACAATCATGGATATAACTTGACATTTCATACTTATTTTTAAATTAGAAGAATTGCTAATATAAAAACTCCTACCAAAGCAAACCTGGAGAAAAAGAGAACTTCCATTTACCTGGTGAATTAACTCCCTTAAACACGTCTGATTTATTCTGTATTTCAATTAGGTTTAACAAGTACTAAGGTTGCTGCTAAATATAAAGTAATAAAATATTTTGGTTAATAATAATTTTAGGGTCTGCATCCGATTTTTGAAATTTCTGGTTGATTCCAAAAATTATTCATGAATTTTAAGAAAAGTTTTTTGGCTCAACACCTATTTCAGTTTATATGTTAATTTGCTTTTGAAAAAGGTATGTATGAATTAGGTAGGTTAAATGGATGTCGATTTGTTATCTCATGTAAAGAGGTTCAGTTTGAAATTTTGCTTGAGAATGATTGACTTATACCTAAATGAATAGAAATACTGTAAAGAATAGCGCAATATGCCAACAAACAGTAAACTTATGCATAATACATCTTCTACCAGACTTGTAGTATGTTGGGGGATATTTTCCAAATAGGTTTTAGAAATTAATATTAAAATCTGCATTACTGAGTCAGTAAATTGAACAGTAAATTCATTACAGCAGCTGCTGTGAAAAAGTAAGGTGGTGACAAATTAAATGACCTTGAGCCAAACCTTCTAGTTGTCCAGGCTTGTCAAGGTTTCAAGGATATTCAGTGACTCAGTCACTCTTTGTTGTGATTTAAAAGAGAACTGCTGATTTTGTTTTATCCCTCACTCTTTCAAGCTTAGATTTGTTTTAATTTATCAATCACCAGAACAGATGAGAAGAAATGTATATTTCAACACTAGGGCGTAAAGTGACTCTTTTCGACATGAGCTCAAGAAAAATGAGCAAGGGTTTTTGACACTTTTTTGACTATGTGTTCAACTATATTTTTTGTCATATGCAACATTAATAAAAATAAAAAAAACTGTAAAGATAACCTCTCTAAAAGACTTTTAACTTGTTTTTGATTTTGCTAATGTAAACAAGCAGCTGTTTAATAAGTGATTCAATCATATTGTCTATTACAACCGTGTTAGTGTATATTATTATTTAGATATGTCCAACCATTGACAAGAATGCCACAATAAGCTACAATCAATGATATCAATAATACATAATTTTGATACAAGTTATTGCTTACAATAGAAGTTTACAACACCAGACTTATACTCCCAAGGGACTAAAAAGGTGTTTTATTCCCTAGAGAGTAAAATAACTACTTTAGATCCACAACGTATGCATTGAAAACGGCTGTTTTTGCTATGACAAAGATTGTTATTTAAGACTTTGTACATAAATACAATAGTTGAGCACTTCTTCAAGAGGAACTGTCGACATTGGTTTCAATTAAAATATAAAAAAAATAGAAACTGTCTCAATCTTATTTTTTTTATATATATATACAATTGGGCATTATCATATTTTAAAAGTAAAAATTTGAAAACCCATTAATAGCTTATATAAAACATGGTGATCTTGCTGGTTCGCGAACTCATTCTATTTTATCCAGCCCTACACTTTCAAGCCAAATTTCATCAAAATCAGACTAAAAATACTTTAAATACCTCAATACTTTCAAAAGCCTAAAACAATAAAAATAAAATATATGGTATTGTTACCACAGGCAGTAGGTAAACTGGAAAGTTGTTAACCTTTACAAGACGCTTAAAATTATATGCTATTTGACATAATGTTGCCATTTGTTTTTTTATTTTTTTATTATAGATCTACCAATATTTAAAAAAAATAATTTGTGTAAAAAATGATCATTTTGAAAATCATTACCTGTGACACATAATTTTAAGCTGTGTTTACCAGAATTACGAATTTTCAAATCAGAATGGAAATGTTTGGCGGTTTCAAAAATACAAGGTAATAAGTCAATACATGAAAGATTCATAAAAATTGCCACAATTTTGAAACAAATTGAGATAATTGACATCTGTTTTCACTAAAATGTTGCTCTAAGCAAGACCTCTCTAAAAATGTACAATGTGATGTAGGTTAACATAAGGAAATTTCGAGATTCGAACCGGTGACCTTCATTTCTAGAACACTCTTTGCTTGGATCATCATGTTCTAAGTATTTTAAATGTATTTTTTGCGTGTGATTTTGGGGGAAATAATTTTATTTCGCATTAATGTATTTTACTTTTTAAGTCCTTAGGTTTTTAATTTTGTTTTTTCAGCAGCTAGCTTAATATTCTTTTTGCCTAATTTATGAGCCTAAATCTCTAGAAACTATCCCAATATTTACTGTATATGAAAAAATTATTGGTAAATTTTAATGTAAATGACATGCCTGAATATTTCAAGAAAATAACATTACAGCAGAATCTGTTGACATTAGTCAGATAATTTTAAATAGTGGGTAATTTTTATGGATGGCAATTCTTTTGTATTTACTTAGCTGTCTTTTAGGTCACAAATAAACTAAACATTTAACTATGGGATGCAATAACCACACAATTGTAGCTGGTCTATTTATGTCATCAGAAATAGTGTGTGAAAGGGAAATTTATAGAATCGTTAAGAGAATTTTGCTGCTAAACTATTCTGGAATTTGACATATATTTTGGGAGAAAGAATAACAAATAATCAACAAAATTGTATGTGCAATTTTTGTTTAAATAATTAAATACCATCTCTACTAGCATTTAAGTGTATACAATCTGTAATATGATATAAAAGAACCGTAGTAGCAGTAAAGTCTTCTGGTTCGTTTGAAGAGAAATTTAGATGCTCCAATAACCAAAGGAAGAGAACCAAATAGAGAGCAGCTAAAAATATGGGGATTCCTTTTGTGAACAATGAAAAATATCACAGCTAATAAAATTGCTACCGATCAAATAATTTATTTTTCCTACAGTTACCTAACAATGTACATGTTCTCTCACTGATTTGAGAAAGCAAAGTGGCCAATTCGCTCATCAGTGAGACAATGTTAACATTGTCTCACTCTAATTACTTTGTCTCACTCCAGATTTGCAGCGTGAAGGCACGAAATAGTGAGCGCGCAACATGCAGGCAACGTCGTATGCACGCGAAATACGTTGGCAACACTGGCTGTAAATCAGCTGGTCAGCTGTTGTACTGTTGTATTTGTCACTTCACATTAAATGTTATATTAAAAGTTCACTTCTGTGTAAAAATAGGTTATGTTTCTTCACCAATTTATTTGTTTTATGGTAACTGTAGGAAAAGTATAATGTGCAACTCGAAATCAAAGTACAATTGCCTCACTCGAGAAACCATTCCTCACTCGCCTACGGCTCGTGAGTAAGGATTTCTCTCGAGTGAGTCAATTGCTCACTTTTCTCACTAGTTGCACAAATAACTATTTCTTTTTTAATGAAGTAAAATTATTTGTAAAGACCCTATTGAAATAAATTTAATCTCATTTAGTTTGGTTGTCCCCAAAGAAATTCTAATATAAAATATTGGATAGATGCTGTGGCTGAGGTTTAATTTTCTGTGAACTAGGTAGGAAGATTAGCACTCAAAGCATCTTATTATTAAATTATGATCACATTTTATGCTGGGAATTTCAAAAACATTAAAGTATGTATTTGAGGTACATAGTAATTGAGGTGTTTGAGGTGTCTTCATTTAAGAAAAAAGTCTTAATCAAATGTTCTTTGTTCTTTACGCATTAAGCAAGTAATAGTATTCTATGCTTGCTGGTCCCAGATACAAACACAATACTAATTTTCACTTTCTCCTCCTATATATAGTGTAAGGAAAAATATTGTTTTTGTTAATGATTTTGAGTTTGGAGTGAATATATTTGTTTTGGGTCCCCCTAAACCCAAAAAAGTTGTTTTAGAAGTGATGTCAGGCCACACCTGTAGTCGGATTTTGATGAAATTTGGTATAGGTACTAAATCCATATCTCCATGACTTTTTCATTTTTTAGCGAATTTCCCATATAGGGAATAAAGCTATTACCGTAGTACTCATGGTAAGACCTGGACCCGGGACCGATTTTTTTTTTCGTTTTGAGGTCCCTAGAGGCCAAAAACACCATCCGTTCAAATTCATATATATATATTTATATATGTGTCCGTTAGCGCGATAACTCGAGCAAAAACGATCCGATTTTGATGAAATTTGGTACAAACGTGTAAACCTACGTTTATTCGAACGAGTTCGCGAACCAGCATGATCGAACCATGGGAACGGGGGTTTATGGGGGGTTTCATGGGGTAAAAATGGGTTTTTCCCACTTTTGACTAAAAAAACATAAAATTTTGCAATTTCTTTCCAAACTATTTTGTAGAGCTTAAAAAAACAAATAATTTAGTATATTAAAGCGTTATAATGCACATAATGGTTACGGAGAAAATTTCAAAAAATTGTAAATTTAAAATTCCCATGTTATTCTTATGGAGAATAAGTCAACTGTTGTAGTTTGCTTGTTTATTAACATTTTTTGCCCAAATTTGGAAAATGTTTTTATTTCTTACTAACTATTAATATTTTACATAAAAAACACTTTTACCCTCCCTGTTGCAGCAAACCTTAGTATGTGTTAAACTGATTCTATTTAAATAGGGAATAAATGTGATATTTTTAAGGAGACATTTTAGTGTAAATCCAATCAGGCAAATGGAAATTCGCTTAGTCTGCAGGTTTGCTGCGGCAGGGGTATTTTTTTTACTTTGACTTAATGGTGATTTTCCCACAAACTAACAGATAATCGGATTTTCTTAAAAATTGCCTGAAAAATTTTTATAAAAATTCAGTATGTTGTTTTATGGTTCAAAAGTGTTTGTAACTTATGTTGTTTTCCCATAAAAACCCCATAAATTTTGATAAAATTGAATTTTAGAAATAAAGCCAGTTTTGATTAAAATTAATGTGTTATGGTTCTTATAAAGTACAACCCCCCATTGCTACGGTTAAAAAGTTATTGCAACTTTTGTGATTTTCCCTAAAAAATATCATAGTTTCTCCCACTGCTTACCCATGATAAAGGTTGTTGACAAGCTTATGGGAGAAAGTATGAGTAAGATTACTGATACTGTTTAAGTTTATTTTTCAGTAAATTTATGTTCAGGAAGGAAAAACCAAACAGGTTGGAGACAAATTATTTACATTTGAAAATTAAAAGTAGAGTTACCAGCAGACCAAGAGATAAGTGCCTTGTACTTTGGTAAAAGGGAGGCTGGTTTAGTTCCCAATATGCCAACATTGAACCTTCCCTCTTAATGCAACTAGACTGTTGAGAAATACAATAATTTTGATTTTGACATGCTTTGATGAATTTTGTTTTCACTTTGATAAACAATCTTGAGACTTAGCACTGGGTATGTTGGTGTAACGAGAGAGTACTTACCGGCCTTGTGACATTGGCTGGCCTGTCGAGTAGGTTTGAACCGGGACCTTTTCTTAGAGGACTGAAACAAGAAAAATAGAGCATCACGTAAGCGAGCTTCTGCGTGATTTATTCCTTGGTGTACTAAAAATAGTAGACTATATTTAGATCACTTGGTAAGCTTAGAGTTTGGTTTCAAATTTGACAATTTTATTTAATGGTATAAAACAACTGTTAAGAGCCCTTGGAGCCGAGCTGTGCTCAACTCATAAAACAATTACAAAACTACAAAGAAAATGTCTAATGTGACAGTGCTCTGCATAATTAAATTAAAATCACCTTGGTATTTGAAGGAATATTTTAAGATGGTAAATAGCTCTTCAATGGCTGTTTGAAATCAACATTGCTCTTATGGCGGGTAAATCCAAGGCCATCAGTTTCCAAGGACTCCCTTGGAAAACAATTACAAAATACAAACAAAATTTCTAACATCACAGTGCAGTATATTTTAATTACTTTAAATATAACTTTGGTATTTGATAGAATATTTTGAGATGATGAATAACTCTTCGGCAGGTTTTAAATTAATCCAAGATGACAGCTATCCTACATGGAATCTTAAGGGCTTGGTGCATACGCGCCTGTGTGTCCATATACTGGGTGAGGTAATTTACATCAGACTCAACTGTTCTTTGAACATTACAGACCTAAGACATCTTGAAATGCTACAGAAACATGTTAGATTTTGATATTATTAAACCATTCAATTATTTTAAACCATCCAATTGGTCTAAATTTTACTAAGAAATCCCGAAGGAAGACGACCGAGAGGAAGGCCAAAACAAAAATGGTGGAGCCAAGTAAAGAAAGACATGTAGCAATTAGGAGCAACTGAGGAGGATGCAGAGGATAGAGCAAGATGGAGAGGCTTTGTTGGTGCGGCCAAATATCTTCTTAGATATGCATGGCCCTGGGAGTAAATAAGTAAGAGTAAGTATCCAATTGGTCCGAAGTGTTTACAAGGAAGCCAATAATTGCATGCCAGTCAATCGTCTTCTGACAATCAATTGTCTCACTTACTGGCATCACCATCGAGTAATTAGAGCTGGAAATACTTTTGGATAATTTATATTGGAGGTGTGCAAGTGGCTTGATTTTCGAGTCTGGCCGAGCTGAAAGCTTATTCTGACGATGGCAGAAAGCGTCTGAGAAGATTGTGTGATTGAAAATTCATAATTTTGCGACATTGATTCATACCACGACACATTGTAATATTGTTTGCTATTTGACAGCAAAGGGTGTTACCAATTTAGACCAACCTTGGTAAATATATAATAATACCATGGATAATGTACAATAGTTTCTAAACCAAAAGTAGTAAACAAATAAATATATTTTTTTAATTAATACTTTTCAATGCAACCATTTTTAAAACCCAACTTCATTTTTAACACCTTAGAGTACTCCACAGAAGGCCTGAGACAACCACATTTTATACTCGATTGGACCCAACTCAATGTAAAAAGTTTGGCCCACAGATCCCTAAAATGAGCCATTTTTTCCTTTAAAAAGTTATTACGAGAACGGAAATAGCTAATGCCACATATAAACCATTGTTTATCAGTCCATTTTACAAATATGACTGACCTCAGCCCAACATATTTTTGTTTGTTGATATTTCAAGCGTCTATTTGTAGCTAACTATATGCACTATACTATATACACCATCCGATCAAATTCTTATGTGTTTTAGTTAGCATGATAACTTCATTAAAAACTATCTGATTTTTTTTTAATTCTGTAGGCCTACAAACATGTATTCCTTCTTTTATTACCAAATTGCAAACCAGCATGGTTCAACTATAGGAACGGGATTTTATGTGGTAAAAATGGGGGTTTTCCATTTTAACCCTCAAAACACAAAACTTTGCAATTTTTCTTAAACCTATTTGTGTAGAGCAATACAAATCATCTAGTATACTCAAGCGATGTTGTATGCTTAATGGTCTGCCCCTTCCCAACCTAAACTAACCTAATCTGTGCTTCTTATCAATAATGCACAATAAGCTGTGGCGGTCATGTCTAGACGTAGAGTCTATCCCTTCTTAACCTAACCTAACCTGTGCTTTCTAGCAACCATGAGCAATAAGCTGTGTTTGTCATGTCTGGACCTAAAGTCCGCCTCTTCGCAACCTAACCTAACCTGTCCTTTCTAGCAACCATATTCAATAATCTTTGTTGGTTGTGTCTGGACCTAAAATCTGCCTCTTCCCAACTTAACCTTACCTAACCTGTGCTTCCTATAAACCATGCACAAAAAGCTGTGGTTGTCGGGTACAAAATAACAAAAACAACAATGTGGACGTGGAATTTTCACGTGCATACTCATCTCGCTCGCTACTCTAATTGACACTACATATTTAGTAATTTCACCTCAAACTAAATTTTCCCAGCATATTTGGAGGCTGAAAGAATTTCTATTTGCCTGATATGATTTTCACTAAGATATTTTAAACAAATGCCAGATTTATTCTGTTAAAGTAACTGTCAGATATTTCGTTTTGGTGACTTCAATATGAAAATTTAAATCGGTCCTGGGTCTAGGTTTTACCGTGAGACCCAGACCTATGGTAATATATAATCTCTATATGGAAAATTAATTTTAGAACGGAAATAGGATAGTTTCACCCACACTGATACTTATATTTCAAACTAGTCAATAGTAAATGATCTTTGATTAATTATTTCTCGACTTAAGAGTGCAATATACCTGGATGAGCTATGATCATTGATTAATTATTTCTCTACTTGAGAGTGCAATATACCTGAATGAGCTATGATCTTTGATTCATTATTTCTCTACTTGAGAGTGCAATATACCTGAATGAGCTATGATCTTTGATTCATTATTTCTCGACTTAAGAGTGCAATATACCTGAATGAGCTATGATCTTTGATTCATTATTTCTCGACTTGAGAGTGCAATATACCTGAATGAGCTATGATCTTTGATTCATTATTTCTCGACTTAAGAGTGCAATATACCTGAATGAGCTATGATCTTTGATTCATTATTTCTCGACTTAAGAGTGCAATATACCTGAATGAGCTATGATCTTTGATTCATTATTTCTCGACTTGAGAGTGCAATATACCTGAATGAGCTATGATCTTTGATTCATTATTTCTCGACTTGAGAGTGCAATATACCTGAATGAGCTATGATCTTTGATTCATTATTTCTCGACTTAAGAGTGCAATATACCTGAATGAGCTATGATCTTTGATTCATTATTTCTCGACTTAAGAGTGCAATATACCTGAATGAGCTATGATCTTTGATTCATTATTTCTCGACTTGAGAGTGCAATATACCTGAATGAGCTATGATCTTTGATTCATTATTCAGGGTTGCCACCAAAGTGAGATAAAAAAATTCATGCATAATTCAAGGTTTTCATTGGTAGTTTTGAAAAATTCATGGGGTATATGCTCGCACAATTTCACCATAAAAGAGTGTTGCCTAGTTCAGAATTGTACATTAATTTATCGACAATATATAGTTTTGTGTGCTACTATCAAATAAAACACATTTCATGCGTTTATTTTAGAGTTAAAAATAAGAATTTAATATAATTTATCCAGTCTAAAAAAAGTAAAATCACAGATGAAAAAGGATATTAATAAAAATCTTGTGTGTGATAATACGATGTAATTATTTAAAAAATTGAAACATCTGATTTAACAACATCATAGGCCTAATGATAAATTCAAACGTTAGAAGAAATAATAAATAAAAAAATAAGTCGGATTGGTAGTTAGGTCTAGGCCTAACCTAAAAAACATTGCATCTAAACATAAAAGGTTTAACTTAGTTAATCCAGCAATGGCACAACTTTACTGTCTAAACATCAAATTAAGATAATAGGCTACTATAAAAACAAATGTTAAGAACATGATCAAGAAACGGTTATCTTAGTAATAGGCCATATCTAGGCCTACTAAAACGCACATGCAATTTATTACTTTATACAGTAACACAGTAGGCTAGCCTACAACATTGTAATCCAAAGCTGAATCTAGGCTAAGTTAGGCCTGAACCAACTTTTATTTATTGAGAAGATTAAAGGTTACCGACTGACTGATAATAACACTCTAAAAAGGTAAGATTATGTAAATAAATATTTAGTTAAAGCTAAGAACGAAACAAAAGTTATGGAATGTATGTAAGTTTAGACATAGGCTAACTTACATTAAGTAATAAAAAAATAATTAATTACATTACAGAAAAGGTTAAAATAAACTTAGTTAGGAGGATGTTTCTTCAGATTGGATCAGTTTATATATTATTATTTGCCTACACAGGTTTAAATCACAGTTAAAACAATTATTTAATTAAATTTACATCTCATTAGTTAGATTCGTATTGACTGAAAACACCTAGTTAATGCTTCAAAAAAACATTTACATTTACCTTCCTCAGAACGAAATCACCATTTTTCAGCACAACATTGACTTCTTGCAACTTAGGCCTAAATAAATAAACTTAATCTCACGTTGTAACACATTTACTAAACACTGACAGTAGTTTGAAATGACGACATATTTGACCAAAACAAACACAGCAGACGATTAAGTTCCAGCCGGCGCAAGCCATTTTGACCTTTATGGCAAGGCAAGGTACTTCTTATTTTAACGTTGTAAAGTATCGGAAGTATAATATATCAGTAATAAAAAATATTTAATTTGAACACTTGTTCCACTGAGTGTTGGGTAATCAATTATAAGAAGCACAAAACGGAATCACGAGTGCAACAAGTGATCTTACTGTCCAGTGTCCACCACTACTTCAAACGTTTGACTCGTTTCTAAGTTTCAGATCACTCAGATCAGTTTAAAACTTTTAGGTTATGGTTACTCTGAATTTCCTTCCACTAGTGATGTGCGATACGTATCGTATCGTATCGGAATATCGCGATACGCGAGGGACGATACGATATTTCGATACGATATTTGAAAAACGATACGTATCGTATCGCCTAAAACGATATTTGTATTTATATCGGCACATAGAGCGATACGATTCATGTCAAAACGATATTTTTAAGCTTTTTTGCGCAGGCCGAGCAAACTGCAAAATCTGTACTCTGTGGATGTGTAGTTTGAAATAGGAGTTTTTGATGTCTGTATTTTTGGTTTTTACTTGATAATGTACCAGTCCCATCCACTGAGCTAAAATTATAACTGGAGGTAGCACAGCCATGGCAGAAGTCTGTCAGAAGCGTGTCGCTGATTTTGTTAGGTTGGTATAGCAGTGGGTTTTCTTATCATAGCAATAACATGGCTTCTTATAACTAGGTTGGTATAGCAGTGAGTTTTCTTGTCATAGAAATAACATGGCTTCTTATGACATGACACCCGCCTCACGCAAACATGGCGGCTGGCGACACGCATCTTTGACATTCAGTGCTACCTCCAGTTAGATTGATAACTCAGTGATCCCATCCCAGTCCATTTCCACTAGCGTGCTATGGCTATCTGGCAGTCTGGCACTAGCAGTGCGGACTGCAGACTGCAGAATGTGGGAACTGTCTGTGGCTGTGGTAATTACATTAATGTATCTGCAATCCTAAAATGCTATGGGAAGGATAGGGAAACAGGTCCAAGACGTAGGGAATTGTGAAGGAAGTAGTAAAGGCGAGCAGTGTGGAGTGTGGAAATGGAAATATGTATCTGCAATACTAAGACTGTTTTCAGAGTAAACTAATGATTTTCCTCGAGCAAAGCTTGGTCCCCAGGTACTTATATAAATTTGCCGTTCCTAGGTTAGGTAGGGGAGGGGGGAAACGATACGATACGTATCGTTTTTCGATATTTTTGACGATACGATTCGCGTATCGCGATACAGACGCCCGATTCGATACGGCGATACGATATTTTTTTCCGATACGTATCGTATCGCTGTATCGCGATACGCGTCCGTATCGCCCATCACTAACGAACACTAGAGTAGAGAGTAGAGAATGAGAGCGAGCATCAATCCCGATTGTCGATGTTTTCGAAACATCGATGTCTTTTCTATCGATGTTCGAAGTTATTTGTTTACATCGATGGTAGATTACCGAACCGATGATTTGATTTGTTACATCGGTCTTTTAGGCCAACAAAAGTAATGAAATATTGATGTTTTTCGTAACTGAATTGTATTGGTTTTAGGTTAATTGGCTGTTACAGTGCAGAGAACAGACGAGAAACTCGGAACAAACATCGATGTGATCGATGTTTTAGCTCCGAAAGCATCGATTTTATCGGTAGATCAGTACTCGGTAGAGATGGGCGTTATAACATAACAGGATGAATAACAGTGTTGCGGCCACGGCAACGTTATCGCGGCAACACGTTGCGGAGAACTCCCTGTTATTATAATAACGTATCTATCTACACAATGTTGCAGGAAAGCCGCGCGGACAACGAAAACGAAAACATGAATTGCCATTAGTGCCGTTGCCGCAACGCTACCAGAGCAACGATAACTTCTGAAACGAACTAGAATAACGCATCCTGTCTGGACAACGCGGCAACGCCCGACTCGCGACTACAACTGAAAACTGAACTGATCAACCGACAATGATAACTGAACGCCGCAACACCGACCGGCGGACAACGGTTTATAGCGGCAACGAGTTGAGTTGGCAATCGTTATTGAAATAACAGGTTGCCGCAACACGTTATTGGGCAGTGCGTTATCGTTATAACGGTTGCCGGAAAACAACGATAATTCCCATCTCTAGACTACTCGGCAGACGTCGGTTACGATCGGATTTGACCTTGAATAAACTACGCAATCGTTTCTGTTCGTGGCATGGCAACAAAACTTTTTATCTCGACACTCCCACTTTGACGTTTTATCTCGGTGTTCATTTCGAGAATGGTTTTAATACGGAGTATTTGATTCAGCACATTTAGGGGTTTTGGCTGAATTGTTGATAATGATTTTGAGAATTCATGGTCCAATGACGAAATTCACGCATAATTCACGCACTTTTTCATGGTCACCTAAATTCACGCATAATTCACGCTTTTCAAGGTTTTCATGGCTGGTGGCAACCCTGTTATTTCTCGACTTAAGAGTGCAATATACCTGAATGAGCTATGATCTTTGATTCATTATTTCTCGACTTGAGAGTGCAATATACCTGAATGAGTTATGATCTTTGATTCATTATTTCTCGACTTAAGAGTGCAATATACCTGAATGAGCTATGATCTTTGATTCATTATTTCTCGACTTAAAGAGTGCAATATACCTGGATGAGCTATGATCTTTGATTAATTATTTCTCTACTTAAGAGTGCAATATACCTGAATGAGCTATGATCTTTGATTCATTATTTCTCGACTTAAGAGTGCAATATACCTGAATGAGCTATGATCTTTGATTCATTATTTCTCGACTTGAGAGTGCAATATACCTGAATGAGCTATGATCTTTGATTCATTATTTCTCGACTTGAGAGTGCAATATACCTGAATGAGCTGGCTAAGTGGTCATCTCCATTTGTCGTCACTTCTAAATCCTCTTTTTTGTCCTTCTTTATCCTCTTAGCTGCTGAACCACCTGACGATCCATATTCTCTTTTGACTATTATTTTACCTGCATTTTCCTGTAAACACAATGTTGAGGTATAAATTAGGTGAGCGGTGAGCAGTATAAATAACTAAGAGAAATTGATAAAGCTTATCAGTTCTTTATAAAAGTCAACCCCTAGTAACCTAATTTGTGGCATTTTGAGTACTTACAAACATCTAATGCATTGGTGACTAGTGTCTAATCTAGTCGGAATAAAAAAAACAATTCTATCTCAAATACAGATCTATTTTTTTAATGTTACAATCCATATTGGGTGGAAAAAGGAATATTTTAAGCCCCTAATGGATATGATTACAGCTTAAAATAGAGGAAAAAAATCAGGTCATCCAATACAAGGACATGTCAGAGATATGAGAAATATATGTAAATTCAATAATATAACAAACAGATCTGGCGGTAGTGCAGGATTAATTTATTTTCAGTCTATTCATTTAACACAGAAGCTATCAACTATAATCAGCCCTCAGAGACAGAGGATGTGACAGTTGATAGGGAACGTGTTACAAAAGATTTCATTACCTAAAAAAAAAATGTAGCATTAAATAAAAAAAAAACCTTCTTGGTCACCTTCTCATCATCACTATCGTTATAATCGACACGTTCCATTTGCACAGTCTTCTCCCGACGGAAGAGTTCTAGCGTAGTTGTTCGGCAATACAGGTCCTCCATAGTGAGAGGGTAGAAGGGAGGGCGTTGGGGATGAGCGGACAGGTCTATGATGGGGTAACCTGAGGTCAGAGTCTGGAGCAAGGAACATAGGACACATCACTTCTAACTAGAGTGGGCTAAACTAGTGGAAGGAATTGTACATATTGCTTGCTTATTAACTAAATTTTATAGGAAGAAAAAAAAGTATGGTAGAACTCGGATTATCCAGATAAATTGGGGCTGGACCCCATCCGGAAAGTAACCAATACGCATACAGTATACTGTAGCATCAATTATCTGAGGCCCAATCATCCAGGAATATGTTGGTTAACCTAAAGGAAGAAATTTAAATAATTTAAACAAGATTGCCCGTCAATCCCTACTGCAAAAAGTGACTGCTACAAGCAGATTTTGTACGATAGCAACAGACAATCACCAGTATCTCCGAGCTCTCAAGATATGCGTAATCCTACAATCTCGGGAGACGATCAAAACTAGTAAAAAAATACATGTTAAACACGTCAAAATATATTTCAATACTCTTAACCATTGTCTCATTTACCCTGTTAATGACCAACCATTCGCAAAATAAGTTGTCCGAAAACCCCCAATCCCTAATCACTTGGGATAGTTTGACTCTCTACTGTAATTGGATTATTCTAGGAAAAAATCATTTAAAATATCAGAAGGCAACGGAACTAGGCATACTCATTGACTGTCGATCGATAGGACAATACAAGAGACTCGCCAATGATAGGTACCATTGGCACACACTAAAATGTATTATCTCAAGCTGAAAAAACTTTGATGGAAATTTGTTCGGCTGATATTTTTCCTCTAGGTGAACTGGATAGTTTGGTGTCCAGATAATTGATAATATTGACAAATGGAGTTTGGATAATTTGAGTTCTACTATAAACAGAATTTGAATGTAGACACCCTCTTGTTAAGACGGCCACATGCATATGACTCAAACACTCGCTTATGTCTTTCGTTACGTAAAAAAAGTATCAACTTGTCTTATTCCTGTTTCTTCTAATAAGCGAATTTCCCCTGTAGGGAAGCGATTATCGTAGGTGATATGGTGAAACGAGGGCCCGGAACTGATTTAGACTAGTTTTTTATTTTTTATTTTGATGACCCCAGAGACCAAAACACATGGTGTTCCGCACAAGAGAGTGTCTACTGTATTTCTATTTCTTAGCAAACCCGCTAATACGCAGTTTTTGATAAGAAAAATAACAGTTTGGTTCAGATTTTTTTTTTAAATTAAAGATGATTCAAATAGTTCCATAAAAAATTTAAACTATGATTTCGTTACTTTAGGTGTGTTCACGAATGTGGGCTCTTTAGGTAGCAGTAATAAGTATTTTTTACATAAGATTCTGGTTTTACATAGATAAACATAAAACTATGTTTTGTTATCGTTCTAAATAATTAGTATTCTAAATAAAGGGAAACTTCAGTTATAAGGTTGGTTTTTCAAGCTAATACTAATAAATTACTATTTCTCAATGAAAAATTGAGAATAATGCATCAGCCGGTACCGTTTTTATCCTGGTAGCATGCTATTTTCATATCTTACCTTTTTGTGTGATTTTGGTTTAGTCTTCTTTTCATTGTCTGAATCTATTAATCGGTCAAAAACTGAGTCTGAATCCTCTTTATTGGTCTGTAAAAAGCACAAACAAAATTACTGTTCATTTATATACAAACAAGTTTAGCTTGACGGAAGCTTAAATTACCTAAATAAATAGTATAGTATACTGTAGTAGCATTTCTCATTGGATCAATACTTGTTTTTTTATTCTCGCATACTTTTGGCTCTGTGAATTGAAACTAAATTATTGAAAACTATAACTATTATATTCCCAAATTAATTTATAATTAATCAGCCAGAATTCTAACTGGAGTAAATAAATTAAAATTAAATTGACAAGCTTTTATTATTATTCTCCCAATTTCAACAGTTTGGAGCAAAGGAGCTATAGCATTTTTTACAATGACTATCTTTAATTTTGTTCACAACAAAATTTAAAATATTGTATCAGTCATAGGAATGACTTGACTAAATAAATAAATATAACGTTATCAAAATAATTCTTTTCCTTTTTTATTGTATCAATTAATGGCAATTTTCCAAAGATTAAAGTAAAACAAACTGTAAATCATGTATATTTTGAATTTACTAAATTATAAAATATTGAGACTGGTTTTATAAAAGATAAACGTCTTGAGCCTGAAGGCCAAATGACAATTGCCAAGTTGTCTGACAACTCATCTTCACATTCCAGCCCCTTTTCAAGACTCTAGGGTGCTTAGTTTGGCCACAGAGTCTTTGTTTTAATCATATCGTGTAAATGCCGCTCGTCATAAAAAAATAGTAGGCATTGTAATTGAGCAACATGTCAGGGTGAACTGTGTTTTTGTAAGGCTTGGTAATATAGAACTGTTAAAATGCTTGAAAATGCCCCTAAACCATTTAGGGTCTTTCTTGTTTTGGTGTCAAAACAAATTTCAACCGAGAAAAGCTTTTGTTCAAGCGTAAAGATTTTGGGCACCATTTTAGAACACATAATTTTTTTTTGACGAGACCTATGTGTTGAAGGTATTCTTTTACCTAATGCTTTGTTGATTCCTTCAGTCAAAGCAACTGTCTTGGTGGATGAGATTGCTCACTTTTCACCAGTTTTTAGCGAATTTCCCTATAGGGAAGTAGCTATTACCGTAGGTGGCACGGCAAGACCTAGACCCGGGACCGATTTACTTTTTCATTTTGATGTCCCCAGAGGCCAAAAACACCATTCGTTCAAATTTTTATATATGTATATATATATATATATATATATATATAGACTTATATATATATATATATATATATATATATACGTCCGTGAACGCGATAACTTGAGTAATTTTTGTCCGATTTTGATGAAATTTGGTTTAAAGGTGTAAAGCGGGATAAACTTGAATGAGTTCGCGAACCAGCACGATCGGATCATGGGAACGGGGCTTTACGGGGGGTTTTATGGGGTAAAAATTGGTTTTTCTCACTTTTGACCCTCAGAACACAAAATTTCCCGATTTATCTTTAGACCTTTTTAAAGAGCTTAAAAAAACAAATAATTTAGTATATAAAAGTATTTTTGTTCGATTATTAGTAACGGAGAAAATTAAAAAAATTGTTAATTTAAAATTCCCATGTTATTCTTATGGAGAATATTGTCAAATGTTGTAGTTTGCTTGTTTATGGATATATTTTGATCAAACTTGGCAAATTTATTTATTTTCTACTAAGCTATCAATATTTTACTCAAAAACACACTTTATTAGTTCCCTTGTAGCAGCAAACCTAGGTACTCGTTAAACATAATGTTATTAAAATATATTTAACTGAAAATCAATTCAGACAAATGGAAATTCGCTTAGTCGGCAGGTTTGCTGCGGCGGGGGTATTGAGGATAACGGGCGTCCTTGGCGCGGATTATCTTCAATATCCCCTCGCCCTTTGAAATGTTTATGCCACTCAAAGAGCAGTATACCACATGCATAGATCTTCATACACTTCCAAGAGAGAATAAGTTTCTATAGCAGACTTAACGAAATTCATAAAATATTTCTATTGTCATGTTGCTGAATGATACCATTTTCCAAAGAGCGGCAAATAAAAGATCTGACAGTGGCCAAACTAAGGAGCTTGGTGTCGTTGAACCGACCAGAATGTGAACGAGGAAATGTCAGGCGAATTGGCAACATGGAATTGGCCCTTCATACTCATGCCGTTTGTCTCTTAGAAATCCAGTCTCGTTATTTTACAGCCACACCCTGTATGTTACCTTTATTGAATTGTTTTTACAACAGGTCAAGTCTGAGAAAACCAATGATGTTTTCTCAGAATAATTTTGCTGTTTATAATTCCAAGTGTGTGAGGAAAACAACCAAATTTAACTCAGTGGTTTACATCTATACTTATTTAATACGCAAGCAGGTTTTTTGTGACAATTACTCCTCCGAAACTACTGAACCGATTGACATGTTTTTGGTGTCATTGGAAAGAGCGTAACGTGAAGTTGTGCAGGAAACTTTCTTTTTAGGGAAATAATTAGAGAGTGAGGCCCTGGGGCCCTTTAAAGTTTTGTATATGTCCATAAGATTAACATGGGTAACAAAATTTGTTATGGAACTCCAGCTGTTGTCAGAAATTAAAAGTGAAATATTTATTGATGGTATCCATGGTAACAATGAACAAACCCACAACATTTAAAAATGTAAACAAGCAGAACTAACTGTCAAATTAATTTTGATTTCACAATTCCACACAGCTGGTCCAAATTTAAATACTGCATGATAATTTGAACAGGAACGGTATGGATCATAAACATGAATAAAATATGTCACTCGCCTGAATTTAAACATTTAACATTGATTAAATGTAACTGTCAAACTATATGTTGATGTCATTAGTATTGGATTCTTTCAGTTACGTCATTTGTTGACCTAGTCCGTCCAATATTTTTGAGCTGCTGTAATAATATTTTACAGAAAATAACTGTTATATAAATTCATGGATATAAGTAATAGTTTAGATTCTACAATCATTACTGTTATTAAAATGTGTATCCGCAACAAACCTTCAGACTAAGCGAATTTTCATTTACCTGGCTTAATTTCTACCCTGAAAATTTTCATTTTTTTCCTATTTAAATAACATTAAGTTAATTTTAATATGAGTACTTAGGTTTGCTGCTACAGGGAAGGTAGGTGTGTTTTGTTTAAATGTTGATAGCTAAGTATGATTGTTATTGGTTTGCAAATCCTGTAATACTTTACAATTGCTCGAATTCGAGCAACATGTGCACTAGTTTGATTAAATACAAGAACACGAGATAATGTGGGATTTATCCTACGATATATTATGTGTCAAAACTATTATATTTTAAGAATTTAATCAACAGATGCTATTTTTATTTAACAAAGATCACAAAATATTGTAGCTTTTAAACTGAACGCTATTAGTTTAACTTGCTCCATCCTCATTCCAAATTCCTCCATCCTAATACCATCTATATAAATAAAATTAGAGTTTTGTCTGTACATTGCTCAGAATTATATACTTTTAGGTTATTTTTACGTTTTATACATTAAAGAAGCAGAAACGAGTCTTATCTCAATTTCTGTCTGTCTGTCTGTCCCTTTGTCTGTAACACTCAAGATGGCATTTTACGCAATCTTCTCCGTGAAAACCAGAGTACATATCAAGATCCAAGCCATTTTAATGTATTCACTGGATTGGCGAGAGTGTCTTAAATATAGCCTCACTACTTTGTAAATAAAATTATGGACGTTCAAAAATGCAGTTTTGTGCGATTTTTGTCAAATTTTCGTTCAATTTTTATCACAGAATCGTCTATGAAATAACGAACAGCTGTTCGGATCAAGATTATTTTTTCTAGCTGTCAATGACATGTTTACAAATGCTGTTTACAAATACCGCAACTATTTCGAATCACGTTTTGAAAGCAAATCCCAACCAAGTGAGATTAAAAACGTTTTTCTTACATAACGGATTTAATTAATCGCAAGTGCAATAATATAATCTAATAGTGTAACCGTAAATGAAATTAAATAACTAGACATCGACCAAATCGGAACCAGAAATTCTTTGAGTATAAAATGTTTCTTGAGTTTTGACAACCAGAAAGAAGAAGACCTTGAATCAGTGTTGTATAGGGCTGTGACACTGAAATGATCGTCGCCAATAGCTTACTAAAAAGGTTTCCACTCATTGACGGCGCTTCAATGGCGATTGTGTAAAGTGTAAAGTAAAAAATCACAACTGCAGTGGGTGATTGTAACAGAGGTTTAACAGAGGAAGTGCTAAACTCGCTTTTCCAATGTGTCACTTTCTGTTTCTACTCACCGTGTGATGCAACCGCTGGACCATACAGCCAATAGGCCCATAGCTCATATCTTGGGTACGTAAGCCTACATATTTATTCATAACAACCTTTTTGACGACGATCCTTGATACCGGTACTTTTCCATAGAATACATGGCCTACCTACTTAAAAAATAAAATTACAAATGACCAAAACCCCAACATTGTGTGATTTTCGTCACATTTCCTTCTAATGTTAATAGATATACTAATCATTGTTTAGAGAATGCGTAATCTATTAAATAACAAAAAGTTGTTTGGGTATGGTTGCTTTTTTTCAAACTGACACGATAAGTTTACGCTATAACTTTTTACGAGAAAATCCAAAAGCAAGAGATCAATAACCTCGAAGCTAGATATTAATGTATTTAATTGGTCCGATTTACTGTAATTCTTAGGTAGGTTCTTACGTAGGTACTGGTTCTTTTCCTTAGAACCGGTAGTTTACAAATTAGATATCGTTGGTTTTGTCTTAACTCTGTATAAGTTTTGCTTTTTCTGCCTGGATTCCAAATCTTAGCTTACCCGGTATGCTAAGAAAATGATAACCTATTTGAGTAAAACATTTGTTGGGCAAACCATCATGAATTGTTTACGCCTTTATATTGTTTATGTATCAATAGTTCGTGGCCTTTGTTGGATTGTTGTATTGTGTTGTTTTGTTGTATGTTGGTAACGCATTAATGTCCTTATTTCTCAGTGTTTCACGGAATGGACAAGAGCACCTTTGATACTGAAAATGTCAACCGGAATAAAGTGTTAAATGGTGAGGTTGAGGTAGTACTTTAAATACGTTTAAGTTAACCGATGTGGAAAGTAACTTTCAATTATAGGCCTACTTTAGGGCTACGCTTCATGGATCTATAAAACATTTTTAAGTTTAATCATTGGACATATGGACCAACACGATCCGGGCGACATTTAATTGCGAAGCATTTATTTTGGCTTGAACTGTCAGATACTGTATTTGCGAAGGTTTATATATAATAGTTTTGCCAGCATATCTGCAAATATGCAAACTAATTGCTGCTCTTAATCTTAATATAAGAAGGTTTCAACTGACTACTATAAGATCCCCGTGCGTAGAACGGGCACAGAGCTAGTCATAGACTAAACATACGCCTTAGTAGGTTAAAGCGCAGTTGTGACAGGTTTTTTTGTGTACTTTGTCAGCCATCTATGTTTTTTTTTTTTCATGGAAATAGTTAACAAGAACACCTTTTACATGTATCTTTCACATGCTGATCCACAATCTCTAACTGCAAATCATTAAAGCAGCATTATTCAACCAACAGCAGGCCTAAACTCTAAAGTTATCAAACATCTACAGTACACACAAACACACAATTGAACAATGACAAAGAAAAATCTACAAAGAAGTAGGGCCTATGTTTAATCTGTGTTAATACTTGCTTGTGTTAATACTAAATACTAGTCATTAAGATAAAAGAACCATTTTCATTGAAAACAAAAGCACATTAAAAAACGATGATTGCCCATGGAAATGATTTTTCAAAAGGAAAAAACAGTATGAAAATGAAAAGCTAGAGGAAAATTATTAACCTATAGTTGCAAATGAATGATGAATATGTTTTGTGATCACACTTAAATGAAACCATGAGTCATGCAGTTAAACAGTAAAAGATAGGCTCAAAATATACAAAATATCCTTACAATTGAATTATTTAATGTATAGAAATTGTGGAGAAATAATAATGAGTACCGTACTATGTTTTACATTAAATGTTTTCAAGTAAAACTATCGGTACTTCTAGCTCTTGACACTATATTGACAAGAAGGTGGTGTTTTATTCCAATTTGTTTTAAAACTTTGAAATTAATTTTAGATACATGTACATAAATGTTTACCAAATTACCTTTTTTTGTGTCTTGGGTTTGGGTTTCTTTTCACTATTACTATTACTACTACTAGATTCTATAAGGCGATCAAAAACTGAATCAGACTCATCTGAAAAACTCTGAAACAATGACAACACAAACTAGTTAAAAAATGTAAAGATTCTGTTACTAAAAAACCTACATTAGTAAAAATGTTTTGTTCATAACATTAACAGTTACAAAAGAAAACAGCATTGTAATTTTGGTCAACCCTAAAAAATTAATGATGATAAATGTAGATATTTAATTTGACAAAGTTATACTTAATATGATCAAGCCAACAAAAATATCCATTCATCACAAACTGAAATCAAAGTGCGTGCAAGACAAACACAATAAGGAAACAACCGATAAATGGATGGCATGAAATGAAGTTGGCGATCATGAGAAAGCAAACCAAGAAAATAATGGAATCACAAAACTTTACAAAACTAAGTCACAAACAATAAAGACTATAGTTGACACTTCCACAGTTCATTACAACAAATATTTACCAAAAGGTATACAAACTGCAAAGGTAAAATACAAAACCAATTTGAACCACTGTATTACTGATGGGAAATAAGACAAGTGGATTCTTTGTAATAACCCTGACCTGTCCAATTCCTTACGGCAAAGGACTACGGACAGAGACATCATGTATCGTGTATGAACAGTAGAGACCCGATAGTCCGAAATGGTTGGGACCGGACATATTTCGGATTACCGAATATTTCGGACGTTTTTTGTTTTGGACGCTAGGCACGAGCCCGGGATTGTTTTTCACATTACTTTAGGCTAGACCTAAGGGTTGCGGCATTATCACTTAGATAAAATCCATTGGTGATTTGGCGGGATTGGAACCCGGGACGAAAATAAAAAATGTTAACTAAAAAAATGGCAAAATGTTAACTAAAATACTCCATACAAGTCTATCTCACACGGCTGCTAAAGAATACTCCGACGAGGTACTACTATCATTACACAACAGGGCTAGCAGTTTCGGTTATTCCCAATGGGTGACAGCACGTACTGGGTCATCACTTTTTGTGTCTACAATATACTGCATTAATATCGTTACCTGACAGTGCTAGTAGTTTCAACTTTCCCCGATAAGTGACAGCAAACTGACTGGGTAAAAAAAAATAAATAAAAAAAATATTTTTAAAAATTTAAATAAAAAATATATTTTTTGTTTCGGATTAAGCGAACTTTTGGATTACTGAAGTTCGGATTATCGGGATTCCACTGTATCGTGTAAGTGACATAAAGACTTTTTAACATTAGTAGGCCTATACTACTTATTGTGGTTTGACTGTTAAGCACGATATAACATGTTGAAGCGTGTTACTATAATTTATAGCAACGGTACTGGACTCATAGGATCGTTAAGGCTCAATATAATCAATCTAGGGTTGCTAGCGACATTCTGAGTTGAATAATAAAGATCTAAAATTAATTACTGAGCCAAACCACATCCATATCACAGCCATTTTGATGATCTAATAATTTCAAATGCATCTAATTAAATATAATAAGGAAATGAACACCTAAAACTTCCACTCGTACCTTAAGGGTACGAGTGTGCTCTAAAATATATTTTACATATTAAGCTGAAATAATTAATAGTTCCCTAACCCCTTAATCCCCCCCTTCCTGAAAAAAATTAGAACATATTTTAATATTACTTATACTAAGGAAAACTTATCAATCGGCGGTGGAGTCCACCCTTGACCATGGCGCCTACACCCTCTTGACTATGGAACACGACTGACCTCTGTCTCTGCGCTTCCTACCCCCTCCCCCGTTCTCCAGCAATCAGCTGATCCTTACCGTGTGATGCGTCGCCGCTGTGACGCAAGCGTCACAATGTACAAGAAAAGAATATTGAATTTCCAGCAAAGATCTCAAAAAGTCTTTTGTATCAAGTGTCATCTATAATCCATCCATCTTTAAAACACGAGCAATATACAAATCACTCAAACATTTCTACTATTATAATAGTTTTCTCACCTCATCTCCTTTGTTCTGTGCACACTTTTCAATCGCTTCCACAGCATCCTTGAAAGCATTTGACTTGTTTGCCCTGATTAAAGCTTCTTTATATTGTTCGTAAGGCTTTAAATTGCTTTCCTCAATCCAACCACTGAAATTCATGCAAATACTTATCAACATAAATCTGTGATTAAAAATCCATCAGTTTTTTTTTTTTTTTTTAATTAACAAAATCAAACTAATTTGATAAACATAATTTGATTTATTATATATGTTACTGCTGTCTCATAGACACATGAAAAATTACAGTACATGAAAAAATTTTATCTGCTGTTACCCGTTGGATAACTCCCAACATGGCTTTGTGTTTTATGACTTGTACTACTATGTACCCGCTGAAGCCCTGACTTTGTTCAGGCTAAATCTACCTTTATTACATTATAAGAAGTTTTTGAAGAGACTGTACAGGGAAAGGATGCAAAACATCATTGCAAAGATCTGATCAGCTATTATGATCTTATTTTAGTCAAAATCTGATAGAAATTGGCTGAGTAGGCGTGTGTGCCGCTCTTGTTCCGCGGTTGAAGGGTAATTTCTTCACATAACTTTTGTTCCGGAGGTCAGCAGGTAGATTTCGGGGCTGGCCGAAACATCACTTTTGTTTTGCGGACATCTATCTTGTTCCGCGAGAGAGGGGGCTGCACTCTCCCTCCCCTAAATCCTCTCTTCACTCTCCTCCTAATTCTTTTTTCATAGGTTAGGTTAAACTGAATTAATATTGATTTTTTTTTTATAAGAAGTAAATGATAATTTAACGAGTTTTAAACCTGCATGAAAGAAAGAATTAGGAGGAGGGCGAAAGAAAGAATTAGGAGGAGGGCAAAAGAAAGGATATGGGGGAGAGAGTGTACAGCCCCTCTCTTGCGGAACAAGAGAGATGTCCGTGGAACAAAAGCAATGTTTTGACCGGTCCTGAAATCTACCTGCTGACCCCCGGTACAAAAGTGATGTGAAGAGATTAGCCTTCAACCGCGGAACAAAAGTGATACAGCCGAGTGGGCAGGTTTGCTATAATTTATCTCTGTATTAATTTTTACGCCACACTACACTGTTTTAACAAACTCCACAAAAGGATTTAGTCCAGAACACAGCTGTTTGCCGCCAGCTTAATCAAATGGGGTTTCATTACGTACTACTGTACTGTAATGATTTTTACAGGACATTAACCAGCTGATTATATACTGTATTTGGCAATGACTGAGCGTGGTTTATAAACAAAAACATAACCTCTCTTAGATATATTCTAGAAATATTCTAGTTCTTGCCACTGGGAAAATACATAAAGAATCAACTCTCTTAGAGGTTATGACTAGTGATGATAAGTCATTTAGTCAGTGGTAATATATAAGGATCCGTACGGATTTAGTAATATTGCGTGAAATATCGTACGTCACTCGTCCAAAATGTGTTTACCGGACTCGTATGATAATCTCTCTACATTGTCTCGAATGGGAACAACCACATTCGTCCGGTAAACACCTTTTTTCAGGACTAGTAACATAATCTATCTATATATTAATAGGCAAGCATGTTTCTTTAAAACCTTTTTTCTCAGCTCGTGTGCATCGTGGGGTAAATCTACGCATACCGTTAGAAAGCTATTTTCCTGTAGGTGTGCAGAATCCCTTTATAAATTTAAATAGGCTCAAAGATAAGCACAAAAAATGAGTTTAAAAATTTGAAAAAATTAACATGGATCTTATGCGTTGCCATGCTGGTGACGAAATAACAACGAAATATAAACAGAAAATCAAAACAAATGGAAGAAACTCCAATCACATGTTTTATTTACAGTGGGGTGAAAATAGAGAAGTGAGTAAGTTTACATTACATATTTTTGGTCGAGTTTCGACCACTGGACGATCTCTCGTACACAATTAACAAAAACTTTCACAACTTTTACTTTAGCCTACAATCTGTTTGGCTAATGGTAACAGCTAATACTTTAGAATAGAAATCTTCACGTACATAGAAAATTCCAATGACTATGTTCGCGAATGTTTGAGGTTACCGGTTTTGTTTGGTAAGTATTAACATTAACAATAACTCCAAAAATGTAATAAAGTGTGTACTTTAATCACTTGCACGATATGTGTTTAATCGCTTTTCAATAATTTATGTATATTTATTATGTAAAATATACTGCTTTTTAATTAAATGGAAGTTTGGTAATCGTGGTTTAGTGGGAAACTGCCTTGTTTAGATAAAGTTAAGTTTTACAGTTTTTACTTTAAACTAATTTTACTTAGGCTACTTGAAAACTGTTTGGGATGCAAAAAACATTAATAAAAAAGTTGTAGAGAATTAAATTCTCCATTACGATTTTCTGACAGATTTAAGATCCAAACATTGGTTCAGCTTATACAGACCAAAATATAAAGGCTTACAAAGTTAATTGAAACACAAAAAATAGCTTCCCCGTTTAACCCCCTTTAAATTTTGAATTTTGTAAAACTTCGTCATAATGCACATCTTCACCATACAGAGACCCCCTATACCAAATTTTATAATTCTAGGACAAATAGGCCAACTTTGGGGAAAATAGTGACCATCTGTCTGTCCTTTATTGTGGGATTTGCCTTATACAGGTGAGGCAATGAGAACGCCACAATTTGTTTTAGCTGTCACGTGTTAATTGTTGCAACAACGAATGATCAGCTGTGCTTATAAAATCAATTAAACTATGCCATTTTAGTAAATATTATGCCTGAGGCTATTAACACTGAGATTTTGACGTGGAAACCTATTTAAAAGATAGTGATTCTTGTGCAAAAAACCAGAGATTGTTTGGACCACATTCCACCCTTGGTCAACATGGCGCGGTTCCAAATTGGAAAACAATGGTGAACTGGGTAAAATTATTTAGGATAAACGCTTAAACCTTAAAAATAATCGGTGGGTATCGCAAAACTCTTTGTACACCAGCAAATGTTGAAAGAGTGTGAGTCACAGTAACTCAAAGTCCAAAGGGATTTGCCAGGAAGCTTTTGTAGTTGAAAGCTTTACGTTGGCTCCTTTTTTGGGAGAGGGGGGGTTGTTCTAATAAGATAATTGAAGTTCGAGGTTTTTTAAAGTCGCCCCACAGATTTGCTTGAACTGAAGCTAAGAATCATCCAAAAACTAAAGCGAACCTGAGGAAATGCTGGAGGAGTATTTGATCAGGTTTTCAAGTGCCTTAAAAGGAATAAAAGGAATGTCAAGTAGGACAATTTGTTCTCAAGAAATGGAAAAATGACTTTGTTAAGTTAAAATGGCAAAAGATAAGCTGTGTTTTGTTGTGCTATTTATATCTATAGGGTGAATATTATTGAGTTTGTACAGCTTATAAATTGGGATGCTTTCATTGCCCCACCCTGTATAAGTAGTCTATGGATAATTCACAATTAATTACTTGTTGTTTAGGTGATGTTAGAAATCCTGTTTGTTGTTTTAGCATTATGCCTACTTGATCAATAGAAGTCTGCTTTAAAAATGGTTAGTAGTGTATGGCATTGATAGTTTTAAACACACAATATAAATAGGTATACAGTAGGTATCGGATTATACAAAAACAATTTAAGCTTGGAGAAATCTGCAAAAATATATAATACAAGTACATTTTTATAATTTTTTTACTCAGAAGGCCTTTGTAAGTTCTTTTACGGGAATAGCTCAGATCCTGGCTTCGTTACAACCTAATGTTGACCTTTTGTTAGAAAGCATTATTAAATGGTAGCCAAATGACAAAAGGTAACTGGGTCCAGAATTGATCTCGATCAGGATTGAAGACAAGCACTATGCCCACTCAGCTACCCAGAAAACTTAATACAGTAGAACTTCAATTATCTGAGATCCAACTATCCAAATTGCTTACAGAAATAATTTAAAAAACGTAAATCCACAGCAATAAGAATAGTTATTTAAAGAAGGCAGAAGCCGTGATCACAGCAAAATCATAAACCTCTCTCACGGTCGTGTGAGACATCAACGTCTCCAACGGGTATGGAAACATCTTAACCGTTTTTCATGATTGCAACAAGATCTTGAACATCTCCTAAGGTCATGTAGACATTATCATCGTATTCCTATCTTATGTCATGGAAAATCATAATCGTTATCCACAATCGTGTCAAAATGTTGAGTTTTTCAATCGCGGAATCTTCACAGACACTTTCTGCGGTTTCAATAGTTAAAGTTCGGCATGACTTGGTCTGTTTTCTGTAAAATATCTAGAATTTCAGTAAAAATCCAAAAAGATTATAAAAGTCTACGGTTGCAGTTCTATGAGTATTCTTTTTCAAAAAGAATTTTTTTAGGTAACTTCCCACCAAAATCATTAGAAACTAAGTAACATTAGAATTTATTTTTTTAATTTGAGTTTATAAAGGCATAATAAAGTAATGTTAAAATAAGTAAGCTTGTCTTGAGACTGTCAATCTAGTTTGGGGCAGTTAAAATTTAGCCTACATACATAAAATATGGTTTTTTTTTTTGTTTAACCCAGCATGGAAGTATGGTATAGCCCTTCAACCTCAGCACCCGATGGCAGGTGTTGTCATTTAGAATAGGTGAGAACACTACAATTTATGAGAGTGTACATTAAGTACATTAAGAAGTCTAGTACCCCACTGTGTCGCTGGTACTTCCCAGATACCGGTCCATACAGTGGCAGTAAACAGCTGCTCACCAGACACATGCATTTTACCGGTGTCAATCAGTGGTCGGCAAGTATGCCAGTTCCCAATCACCCCTATGTTTTAGGCCTACTATCGCAATTTGGATTGTCAGTAAAAAAATCGATTGTTAAAAATCAGTTTTTTGTTATGTTTTTGTCTCAAGTTTTAATGAGAGATAAACACATGTTTTTCAATGTTCAATTAGGCTTAAACAGGTAAAACTTAAGTCCCCATAGATATTACATTTTTCCACACCAATTTTCTACCCCGCAGGTTTGCAGAATGACGTGTATTCTTTTGTTGTAGACCATCACTTATCTCAAATCCTAGAGAAAAAGAGGTGATATTGGACCAGCATGAATAAGTCAACCAAAAAATCTTAATAAAAACATTGTCATTAAGCATGTGTTGTAATGGTCAAATTTTATTAGGGGGGTTAGTTTTAATTATTTTAAAGCCGCGAAGGTTTGAGCGCGCTCGACAACAATGTCAAACATGTCCACGGCAAGTCAAGTCTCCTAGTTCGTGACTTGGCCGCTGCGACCTCGGGGCGCTGATGTAGACGTGGTGGGGAGAAGCCGTAACCAGCGGACAGTGGACATTTCTTGAGACAGTCGACGGCGAGCGCATGTTCGCTACACACCCTCTCCTGAGATATATAGCAGACCTGCGGCGAGAATAAGTTGTGGATGCGATACGCATCGAGCGCGAAAATAAGGGCGATAATATTAAGCGAAATAAGTATTGACAGGCGTAAGTACTGCATTGTATCCTTACATTATTAGTATTATTTTCCCATTTTACTTTGGCGAGTAGAAGTTAATATTCTTTACGATCACCTTAGTTGTAAGAGATTAGCGTATTGTATTTCTCAAGAAGTTGTATTTGGCACTGCGAAAGCAGCGCCAAAGTAGCCTACACTTTTTAGTTTATTTATCTTAAGTGGTTTTATTTTATTTTATCCAAAAGTATTTCATTTCGTTATTTTGTTATTGCGTGTGACGACATTTTATTTCACTACAAGAGTATTATTTTAAGTTTTTATTTGAGAAGCGATACCTTTTGTTAGGCCTAGATGCTGGTCACGTATTTTAGTTCACATAGAAGTATCGTATTTAGTGCCGATGTATTCCTAGTTAGTGCGTCGTCGTGCTGACATACAACCATAGTATACTCGTGCGTGTAGGACGACGAAGGTACCATCTACGAAGATCGAGAAGCGGTTAGCGAGCGACGGAGACTGTTAGCGAGAACCCTGGACTACTAGAGCTGACCGAGCGAATCAGAGGTAAGTTTAGGATAGGTTGACCCTACCCGATATAAACACCTCACAGTGTACAATCCATTTTTGGCAAAAATTGATTAGGTTGGTAATGAAAGATTTAAATGATAGTTACTTACTAGTTTTCGGAGCCAAAAAAATATATGCAGTGGGAAGCTTTTTTACTTGCAGGCCTCTTCAAATCTTTGGGTGGGTTGGAAACCTGTAAAATAATTAAATTAATCAATAATGTTGAGTAGATTAAAGAATAAATACTATTTTCCTACAGTTACCTGACAAAGCAGTCTTTACTGTACTGATTAGATATAGAATGCAAAGTAGCTAATTGCTGCATTTACTTTTGCCGCACCAATTTTTTTTGCTGCACTCAAGTATTCAAAATAAACAACACAAGAGATTGTGCTTTTATAAGGTGCATACGCTCGAATAAATTGGCAACACTTAAAGGTACTACGACTACAATCTAATCAGATGTTCCAGTGTTTCCCATTTTGTTCAACGCTTCAATTTAAATATCCTAAAATGTGTAGTTTAGTGCTTGAAAGACTAATTATTTTTATCCTTTATAGTAACTGTAGGAAAAATATCATGTGTATCAGAAGTGCAAAGTGCCTTTGCTGCACTCAAGAAACTTTCCACACTCGCTTAAGGTTCCTGCGTAAACATTTCGCTTGTGTGCACAGCAAAATTCCACTTTACACACTAGTTACACAAGCCGTTAATGACATGTGTTAAGTAATCTGTATATTAAGTAATCTAAGTGATAGTAACCAAAAGCTACGATGAACAACCCAATCTAAAGTGTCTTTTAATAGTTACAGTAACAAGATCATTAGTGCATTTAAGGACCAAAAGAGGGGAGTTAAGACAGAGAGTTTATTTGGAAGTTGTTATTGATAATAGGCCTTTAAGCCCATTCAATATAAAATCATTTCTAGTTTCCAAAAAATATTAGGCACTAATATGAAGGAGTTATGAACAATCATGTTAATTTCTTCGGCAGTCATTACATACCGTACGTAAACAATGTTTGACTCCCCGCATTTCTTGGATCAAACCACTATTTTTTATGCTTATTTTTGCACTTGGAAGCTTTATTCTATGTTTCATCATAACAACCAATGTTTCCAGTTTTCACCCCTAGGCTACCAGAAAATAGTTTACGGCAATCGTTCAATGCTAAAAACCATCGAATAAACTTTTCAGTTTTTGATGTGCAAACTTTTATTTAGGTAAAGCAAGTAACTTAAGTTTTTTACTAGATTAACATTCAGCTTCCAAACAAGTATTTTTAATTTTGCTGAGGAACTTGAGATAGTAAGTGGCACCTCAGTCTGTCGTACTTATCCCAGCTAAAATAATTGTCATTAACATTATACTCAACTTGTGAGCTACTTTGAAAGTAACGGGCTTTTTGTAAATGCCCAACATGGTTTTAGGTGTGGAAAATCCACTACCACGGCTGTTGCCCAGCTTGTAACTGAGGTCCTAAACGCTTTCGAGGCTAATGAATCTCTGGCTCTGGCTCTCGCGGACCTAAGCAAAGCTTTCGACTGCGTCCCTCATGCCCTGCTTGTCGAAAAACTGAAAGCTTACGGAGTCTGTGGTGAGGTGCTTTCCACCTTCGCATCCTACCTGGCAGATAGGAAACAAATCCTCACCCTGAATGGAGTCAACTCTTCCCCCCAACCCGTCAACCATGGAGTGCCCCAAGGTTCGGTCATTGGACCGGTTCTCTCTTGGTCTTGATTAACGACCTAGGTGTGCAGGGAGACATACTTCTATTCGCAGACGATACCACCTTTTTTGCAAGAGGCAAAACACCTGACTTGGCCCAGGAATCGGTAACAGGAAAATTTCTTGTGGCCAAACAGTGGTTCCTCAACAATAAGCTGAGCTTAAACGAAGATAAGACACAAGAAATTGTATGTAGCCTCAGTTTAAGCCAATCATCAACTTCTCCGGAAGTTAAGTTACTGGGTTTTACCCTGGATGCTAAATTAAGCTGGAACAGTCACACAGCTAACATCTGCCTAAAACTAGCAAAAGTAACACGTCTCCTCAGGTGCCTAAAGCCTCTACTATCTAAGGAGCACCTATTAATGATATATTATGCACTGTTTCACAGTCATGTTATGCATGGGCTTCAGCTGTGGGGACACGCATCGGGATGCAATAATATCCTTCTCGAGCAGAAAAAAGCCTTGAGAATCATAGACTCGGCTGGTTTTCTCGACCACTGCAAACCTATATTTGCAAAACTCAAAGTCTGCACCGTGTTTAGCCAAAACATTCTGCTTAGCCTGCTTTATGTCAGGGAAAACCTATCTTTACTTACTGTGAGAGGGGACCTGCACCCATATAACATCCGAGGGAGGGAAAAGATTGATATCCCTTATTGTAGGCTGAGTAGAAAGAAGGAATGCTTCCCAGTCCTGGCAATAACACTTTTCAACACGCTCCCAACTAGTGTGAGAAATCTGGAGGTCGGGAAGTTCAAGACTTGGGTAGAGCGATGGTTGAGGAAAAATCCTTTCTACTCCATTGAGGAATATTATAAAGCAGATACCCAAAATATATAAGGCCTAGCTCGGTAAAGACCTGCCGCCAAACACACAACCCAAAATATGTAAATAGTGTACAGTTTTTAAATAATTTATATTTTGTTGTACAGTCCTAAATATTAGTTTTAAAAGTATTACTGACGCCATTTATCCAGTATCACTGGTCAAAGATGAAGGGAAGAAGTATGAAGTATGAAGTAAGTATACAAATCATTGAGCAGCTTTTTACACATAAAGGCTGTTTGGGTGTTTTGATTTAACGGAAGGCGACTACCAAAAATAAAGGTACAAACCTTAACAGTCAAAGGGTAACAGCATATTACCTAAAAAAAAATTTCCAAGTAAATTGCTGTTAGGTTTACCCTTGGAAAATTATAGGCTATATTTCTAATAGGCCCAAACTTTCTTATAGATTGTGTCTTAGGCTACGGCCACACGGGCGTTTTTTCACGCAAGAACGCAGCGTGAAAAAACGCGAGAATTATGGGCAGCATTAAATGTAATGAGGTATGCCACACGGAGTGTGTTTTCACGCAGATTAGGCGCGTCTTCAAAATCGACCGCCGCGGGCCCGCAGAAGAATGGACTGGGGTGCATTTTTGAAGCTTGTTTTCACGCTCTGTCCCTGGCCACACGGGCGGGAGCAACACGCAGCTTTGATCAAGTCGTTCTAGCAAGTTAAAATAAAGTTAAATGTATCTAATTTTTTCCAGGACAGCGTAAAATATTTTTGGGTCTAGCCAATTATACATTAGGATCTTAAACATAGGTCGACCTTACTGGGCCACTTAATAATTTGTTACTAAAAGGAAAGGCATTTAGTTGGGCAAATTAAAATCTTGTCATAAAAATATTTATATTATATTTATTTTTTATGCTAAATGTCAAAATAAAATAATTTTTGTGTTGTTTTCGTATCGAAATTAATATATTAAATTTATTTTTTATACTAAATGTAAATAATTAAATGTTAACAAAATAAAATAATTTTAGTATTGTTTTCGTACCGAAATCACCATTCATATTTTTTTTCACTAGTCAAAAACAAGGTTATTATTCCGGCCATGAGGAAGATATATAACATAATTACGTGAATTCGTCAATCAACTGCAGGTTCCCACGGCTTTTTGCCGCTCCTGCCGCAACCTGCGTGAAAATAAGCTAAATTTTTCCGCGTGAAAAAGACGCACGTGTGGCATACAACAGCGGGAATTCAAGCAGCGTGAAAAAAAGCTACATTTTACCGCGTGAAAAAACGCCCGTGTGGCCGTAGCCTAAGTGTTTAAAATGTTTATTTCAAGCTGACAAGTTTAAATTAGGCCTATTAATTTTGAAATCGCAAGACAAAATTCAGTTTAGTAGGGAGGTACCTATTTATTTAATATAGGTGCCTCCAATAGAATTTTTAAATTTGGTATCAAGTTTTTTTTCCTTCCTGAATCCAAATAGCCTATAAGATTTTTTTCCCCCCTAATGAATATTACTCTAGATATCGCCGTAAAAATATACATTAGAATAAACAAGGTAGTATGGATGACATTAAAATGAACTGTGGGTGAAGTAAGCCTACAGCTGATTGTTTTCAACTACACGACAAGCAACTGGAGGAACTAACCTTAAGGCCAGTATCCACAGTGCAAGGCAGCTCGCTGTGAATGCCTTGTTGCGAATTCTCAGCCTTGCCTCGGACTGTGGGTACCGGGGTTGCTCGCTATGAGGCGCTCGCATCGCAAAATGTGAGGCGAAACGTGTACTTGTCGGTTTTAGAGCAGTGCTCAAAGGTGCCTCGCTCTGAGCTGTGTGTCATCATGGATAGTCATGACATGATCAGAGATTTAGTGAAGTGTTATGGAAAGCAAAGCGGGTGGTTAGCGTGCTCGCAGTGAGCATTCGGGGTTACAAACTAGCTGCTAGCTAAAGAGCTCACCCTGAGGCAGATGGCACGAGGCATTCGCAGCGAGCAGCCTCGCACTGTGGATACCGGCCTTTATTATCTAACTCTGATTCTGATCGGCAATAGGCCAAATTTAATTACGACATTTCACTTCACAACAACTGAACAACTACTTAGAACTAGAACTATAATACAGTGGTAGAATACTAAAACCAATACTGTGCTGCTAGTCTGTCTGCTACGCTAAGTTCATCTTCAAAAGCATTTAAATTACAGACAGACAGACAAACAGACATGAGTAGGATTAAAAACATATCTTGTTTAGGCAAAAATAATAGCCTATAACCCTCCGAGTGTCCCTTGTTTTGGCCTTAATGTCTGCCTACTTTTTGCTCATTTGCAAGGTTTTATTAAAACGGATCTGAGAAGCTTAAAAACAATGTTAATTATACTGTTCTATATACCATTTTGTTTGGAAAATCATGGGCTTCAATAATATACATAAAACATAAGGAACATTTGTTTCAAAAAAAACTTTTATGTAAAAAAAATATTTTGGAAAATTAAAAAAAAAAAAGTTTACACTCAATGAAATTGTATAAATTATAGGCCTATAAATATTTAAAAATAGCCACTTTGTTCTAAATTTTATGAGGATTACAAATATATAATAATATAAGGAAGTAGATTTGCAAATAAATAAGTTATGGGCAAAAACAGATTTCAGTACATAGCGTTTGTTTA